TCTTGTGTTTTTCCAAAGGTAATTTTCGAACAACGCTGTTATTAAATATAACCTCCAGTAGGTATATCCAATCACAGCAATAGGAAGAATCATAGTGAAATACTTACCACTGCGATTGCAGTAATAATACACAATATCCAAATCTTTGGTTTTTCTTGTTTTTTGTCTAACATATTGAGTATTACTTGCTCTGCAAGTGTCTCTTAACCAGACATCAAATTCTTGAAAAGAACAAAATATGTTTGTGAATCTAGCATAAAAAATCAACAGACTAAAACAACTTACCTTCTTTGGTATTAAACTGAAGAGACTCTTCAGGAAAAGTTTTCAAATGAACATCAGTTAGATGGTGCCTCAGTTGTTCTATGTTTATATAGGATAGCCTATATTCAAAACATTTGTTTATGAAGACATTAAACTCATAAGAAACAATGTTCTTGTTCCCAAATCGATGCACTGTTTTTAAATGTCTGTTTAAGTTACTTTGATATGTAAATATTTTTTCACAATGAATGCAAGCTACCCCATTGAATGATGGACGTGAAGGACCGGCTTCTTCAACATGATGAACAACATGGAGATGCCTATTTAAATTGCTACGAAATTTGAAAGTTTTTTGACAATGAACGCACGGTAAAACCATATTTATTCTATTTTTAGATTATTTCAAAACTTTTAGCTCAGAACTTTTAAAATCACTGGATTGGAAAGCACAACCAATGAACCAACTGAGAAAATCTTGGAAAAATGCATTAAAAACAAAATAAAAATAACATAACCCAAAAAATATTTCTTATTGACAAGGAGACAAGGTAGATTAGGCAACGTCGCAAATCGCGCACGCGTATTATAGGGATCGGTGTCTGACAATTAATTCCTCCTAAGGTCAATTGAATTGAGGATGCCAACGTTAAACAACATTTTCCTAGCTTGCATGCCGAAGTGCCACTTCGCTACTAAATTGACTGAGGATGAGCCTTAACTGATTGGTACCAAAAACCAATGGCATCAGGTAGAATGATCAATTATAAGTCTAACCACAATATGACTCAAAAGATTGCTGTCATCAAATCGCTCAAGTATAGAGTAATGAATTTAGCTGATCCTCAATTCCATGAGCTGAATTTCAAAAGAGTCTTGGATCTGTGTAGGTCCAATCACTATCTAGTTTCTCTAGTCAACACTATGTAATACTCCTCCAACTGATTCAAATAATGATAGTAATCTTGATCATAATGGTGATATTAGTGTTAAATTTTTTTTAGAAACTATTCATAGGATTATTATTATATGTAATACATAATTTCATCTTATATTAGATGTTTTTAATGGTTTTTTCCAAATTGCATATTTCTTTTTTTAATCTCATGAAAAGTCTATAGTTAGCAGTGGGCCGATTTCTATGCACTTAAGTGTAGGTATTCTTTTTTTGTCTTTGGTTTATTCAATGTTCTAGAATAGAAGTTAACATATATTGTTCCAGCCTTTCTAAATAGAGTTTTATTGCGGATTGAATTTAAATATTCAGGCAAGTGTTTATACAATTTTATTCCATTATGAAATAATAATATTGACTTTTGGGCAGTATTCGATTTAATTTTAAAAAAACTGCTGTTTCGTTCTATATCGACCTCTACACATAATCTTCATCAAATCAATACAGGACAGTATACATATTCCCAGACTGCTGGAAATCAAGTTTTATGGTACCCATGTACAAATCAGGTGATCCAGAAAATGTGACTATCACCCTATAAGTATTTTTAATGCTATTCCAAAAATATTTGAAAAAATTGTCACTAAATTCTTAGCATCTTGCCTTGGACCTGATATTAAACACCAGCAGTTTGGCTTCAAAAAACACTCATCACAATTTCAATATATGTGTGCAATATAGGCAGCAGCAATGAAGACAAGAATAGAAAAAATCCGAGAAAAAATCCAGAGATTACAAAACAGAATTATTAAATATCTATATAAACTACCAAGACTTTATTCAACAAAGGAACTTTATGAGAATACTAAATATGTTTAGATCGAGAATATAATAAAGCTAGAGGAATGCAAACTTAGGCAGAAAATTAACTATCACCAAATTAAAAACAATATTAAACTAGTTAAAAATTCTGAAATTCGTGGTCACTCTACTCCAGTTCACTTGAAACCACGTTGTGCCGCTGACACCCAACAGCAAATCATAATTCAACCATTTCTCGCCGGTATTTGGTAGTGCCCCACTGCTACACTTACCTTTAATGGTATAATCGTGTAACAAATGAGATCCTAACCTATTATGGCGTACGGCTTCCCCGGGGGACACTAATTACCAAAAAGAAATAATCAAACCATGATTTGTTGCCCTGGATATCAGTGAAACGCAACTTTAATTGTTAAAATTGTATTCGTTAACATCCTCAGTCCAATGTTCTCTATCTTAGGCCAGGTTTATTCATCTTGAGATAAACTTGCTGGTAACGATCTGTAAGATATATTTACAGATCTATAATCCGTTTGGTCACTGGATAAGGCCGGAGTCTCATGCATCCGTTTTCCGACGAAAGATGTCCGAAAAACCTTCCATTCTGACATATTTATATACGATTATGTCAGAATAAAAGGTTTTTCGGACATCTTTCGTCGGAAATCGGATGATGAGACTCTGGCTTAATTCGTTGACCAATGGGCTTATATATTGCGTTTTTATCTGTCAGATTGCATTACCTGACATTTTATTAAAAAATGAATACCTACTCCGGCTCTTATATGTATTAAGAGGCTCTTGAAGAGCCGGGAATAGACAAAAATTTAGAAGTTTAGAGAAGAAATTAAAGGAAAATTTCTAAAAAGCAGAGGTATCTGTGAGAATTTAAATAAGCGCTAAGTTTATTGCTTGGCCCACAACAGTAGTAGTATGTCAATGGTTTGAAGTTTTTATTGGGATTTTTGACCAATATATCATGTTTATCTCAATGTTCACATATGTACTTACATAACTTTTTTGAGAGTTAATATGATGCTGGAGCAAACATAAAGGAAACATTGAATAAGATTCAAATATTTCCCCATTGTTAAATATATTCAATTCCTAAAACAACATTAACTTTTTATTACCCTATGTATATCCAAATTCGATTTTTCAATTGTTGTTGATTGATTTCTTTCTAATAGTGCTTAATCACCATATTGGCTGATTCTGAAAGCGACGTGTTTATGCTGCGTTCAAGACAACAAACGTGAAAACAGAACAGCCCCAGTCCGGTGAAGACCCATTACAAAATCATGTCAAATCATGCCCCAACAGCCACTACCACTACTGCTTCCGAACCAGACGCACCTGCACCAATTCAGCAACGGCCACATCTCAATTTTCTTACTGAAAGGAATCTTCCTCATTTCGGACATTGTGCCAACAATTACCATAGCATTGACATAACCGTCAATATTGCTGGACAGAACTCCCTGCCTAGTGCAGTGTACAACCAGATCGTACAGCTCAGTGCCTCAAAGATCGATCTCACAAAAGGTGAATTCACTCGAATGTGGAAGACGCTCTTACTGAAAAGAGTACAAGATGTTTTCCAACAGGAGAAGAAAAGAAGACCTGCGAATATGATTAGACTAGGCAGCTCTATTCTCATTCCTGGACCTTTAGCTGATACCCTCAGCATGCTAGGCCAGCACATTTCGACAACAAACGGAGGCGTTTACCACATTGTACCCCCCGACCGCAGCCCTGTTTTGGCCGATTGGTCGATCGTCGATAATGGAATATTGGCAAAATGGATTCAGTTGATGTACAGAATTAAATTTTTGTATGCTACAGCAGAATTCCCTTCAATGAATGACTATGATGGTAGACCTCTTGTTTTTACAACTATACAAGACACAGAGGATTGTCGTCAGGTCAGAAGTTTCTCAAATGAACCAAAACCTACAGACGTTCTTATACGTTTTGTTAATGACGATCTGTTCGTCAACCTGCCCTTTTCTTATGAAAATTGCCACCTTCATATGGCGGGGCCGCTTCATCTTGTCAGTGTAGTTGGCAGTTATGTTGGATCTCATGTTAGGTGCTAATGTTAAGTATTATTTTTTTGATTTCATCTAGTGTTTAAGCGTATGGACCTGTATCCAATGTTTATTATTTGAGTTTCTGTAGAATTTCTTTTATGTTTGTTTTTGTAGAATTAGTATTACTTTGTTAAGCATCTCTATGCAGAATGTTAGTTTTTTTTTCAAGCTAGTTTATAGTGATAATGATAAAAAAAATGTACCTTATAGATTATTTGATAGAACTCAATAAACAAAATGTATCCAAGTCTGATTTTTCTCTATGGGACAACAAGGATACATGCCCCAATAACTCGGGCATAACTAATCCAGCTTCTATTTTGTAGAGAAAGATTATATCCAGATAGTCTTCTGTTCTTTGAAGTTTGGATTTTTGAAAGATATTGTCACATAATATGGCGCTTGATGTACAGAATTGGGCGGCTGATTCTAGATTTTTCAGGGAAAAATGGCTATCGCGTTTCTTCTGGATTTTACGTGAATAGTTTTCGGATATATAAAGGCCGGTATTAGTTAGTAGTTTTGAGTTTAAAATTGGCTGTGATATTCAAGTATGTATGTATATCTGTCTTGAAACTGGAGGAGGCTGAAATATATATTTTTTTTTTGCTCTCTTACTGGTTTCTGCAGTCTCATTGTGTGCTATTTTTAAACTGATTCTGAAAATTTTCCCAAAAGGCGTCTGATATCAGGATTATCAGCAATGTCCTTTAAAAACTTCAGTTAGCTTCATCATTGAATGGATAGAATTTTCCTAATTAAATACTAAAAGCAATGGCAATTTATTTATTGATACGTTATCCAATTACAAGTCCTTTATAATGTATTAATATGTATAACTTTTATCAATAATTTATGCACTCTTCTAAAAATAACCCATTTGTGGTTACATTCTATTTATCAAACACTAATAATCACGATTTTTCTAGTTTCCAGTGAATTTTCATAATGTCTGGAGATCACGAAGTGACTACTCCTGACGACTTGGACCATGAACCGGAGTCCACCTACAAACCACCACCGGAAAAGACAATTGACCAGATTTTGGAAATTGATCAGGACGATGAGAGCTTGAGGAAGTACAAGGAAACTTTGCTTGGCCAGGCACAGACTGGACCAATTATTGTGGGTAAGAATTTTATCAATGTTATCAACTTGCGGACACTAACTTTTGTATTATTTAGAGCCTGACAATCCAAGAAAGGTAATTGTGAAGCGGCTGGTATTGATACCAACTGATAGACCTGAAATATCTCTGGATTTGACCGGTGATCTCTCAAAATTGAAAAAGGAAACGTTTGTCATCAAAGAGGGAGTTTCTTATAGAATAAGAATCGAGTTTCTGGTGCAGAGAGAGATTGTACACGGACTGAAATATGTGCAGAAAACTAGCAAATTGGGAATTACAGGTAACTTTTTTTTACATTTAATACTTTAAAATTCAAAGCTAAAACAACCACAAATGACTCATAAGTTAAAATAAAAATTCTTATCATAAAATCATAAAGATAAAATGTGTGTTCTATATTTATCTTGGGCAACATATTGTTTTTATTTTTAATTATGAGAAATGCAATCTTTTATCCACCAGGCAAACATTTTGCAGTAATAAACTGAGCACTAGCAAGACATATTTTCGACCAAAAATCATACATACTAATAGATTCCCTGGTGGATTGCTTTTTAAAAATCGATTTTTCAAAAATACTTCAACTTTAGTCGATAAAATGACCCACATGGTGGGTTCCTACGCTCCCAAAACCGAAATCCAATCGTACACAACACCTGCGGAAGACGCCCCATCTGGTTTGATGGCACGAGGTTCTTACACTGTCCATTCTTTGTTCACTGATGACGATAAAAACGAACATCTAAAATGGGAATGGACTTTCGAAATTAAAAAGGATTGGAAGGATTAATAGAATAGTAGTAATTTTCGTTTGATGCTTAAGCAATTTATATTTTAAGTAATAATCCTTTTTTCGTGATTTGAAGTATTAAAAGCAAAAGCAAACAATATTAAAGTTTAAGGATTTAAAACGCTGATTAACCTATTTACCCAATTTTTATAACCTTAGACCTTATATCGTAATGTAAATTTTTGAGAAACCATTTTACTATACAAAAAATTGAGCTTTATAAGAGATGCTTTATTTAGTCAATTATTGTGTGAGTGTAATTTTATGTAAAAGGAGTATTTGAAGGTTTAAATAATTTAAAACAAAAACCAGTGATGCCTTTTTACTCCTCAGGATTTAAAAATAAATAAGTAAAAGACTAATATTCCTTATAGCAATAGTTTTCATTTGAAACAAATATCTGAAGCTCTAAAGCATTTATTTCTGTTTCTAGTCTTATTTGCTCATTTTTTTACTTTCCTTACGAGGAAAGTATTATGTTTTATAATTATTAGGTAATTGTTTATTTTTCCTCTTCAAATAATGCTTCAAAGTTATCTAGCTATAATTATTCTAAAGAAACTATGTATCTTCCAATGTTTCCAAAATGTAACTGCCGGTAAAATTGAAACAAGATCCAAAAATACTTATTATTATAAACTATTTGTTCGTAAATTTTAATTAAGTCAGAGTGTTTATAGGTAATATTATTGTGTGAAGTTTTTTTTTGCTTAAAATAGTACAATATGTACTTTTAGAATACATTTTGAGGAATAAACTATGTACCTATGTATAGTTGAGGATTTTTTTTTAAATAACTCTTTACTCCCTTTTACAGACATACAAATTTTTAGTGAAACTTTACAAATATGTCATCTGGATAGTTATCAAACTTTTACAAAGAAGCTAAGGTGAGCAAAAACTAATATCCTCCTTGAAAACACAAAGTTGATGCTGAAAACAAATTGAAAGACAAATGATAAGTGTATCATGACATGAATAATAGCTCTGTTTCAATTTCAACAGACATGAGAACGATAATTTCCAGTCAATCAATTCATTTGTCAATTAGGATGAACGTTCAACTTATTGAAAAATAGGTGGGCAACTAGAAATTACTGTTTCTGGAACAAAGCTAATAAATAGTGTCCGTAACACTGCTTGCTTGCATCTGTGTCTAAAATCAACATGCCTTTCTGATCGGGATAGGACAACACTGGATTCGTACATAATGCTCCTTCCAATTTTCTGAAAGCGGAATCGCATTCTTGGATCCAATTGAATGTTGATTTTTCTTCCGTGCGGAGCAGCTATATTGGCGGAACCTTCCACAAATCTTTGATAATAAGAACATAATCCTAGAAAACTCCTTAGTTCATGTTTGTCGCGTGGTTTTGGCCAATCCCTGACAGCATCTATTTTTCCTTCCATAACCTGTATGCCATCTTCAGATACCACGTGACCTAAGAATTCCACTTTTTTTTGAAATAGAAAACCCTTGTTTGGGTTGAGTTTCAAGTTGGCATTCCGGAAGCGGTCAAAAACTTCTTTCAGGTTATTGAGATGTTCTTGGAACGAATTTCCCATGATCATGACATCATCCAAATATACCAGGCAGGTTCTCCATGTAAGGCCTCGCAAAACAGGATGCATCAGTTGCTCAAGCGTAGCTGGAGCATTACACAATCCGAAAGGCATTACATTAAACTGGTATAACCCGCTTCCGGTACTGAAGGCAGTTTTCTCTTTGTCATCTTCGTGTACTGCGACTTGCCAGTATCCACTTTTGAGATCCAAGGTGGAAAACCATTTGGAGCCCGACAGCGTTGTTAATGTATCGTCTATTCTCGGAAGAGGGAAGCTGTCCTTCTTGGTGACGTCATTAAGCTTACGGTAGTCCACACAAAATCTAAGACTTCCATCTTTCTTGGTCACCAATACTACTGGCGCAGACCATAGACTATTTGACTATTCAATAATTCCCTCTTGAAGCATTTTATCAATTTGGTTTTCCGCTTATCCTGTTGTTTAGCTACTGCCATACGTCGAGGTTTATAACATTTTTTATAACATGTGCATTGTTCATGTATTTAACAAAAATCGTTTCATACTGTAAACAACACAGATAAAGAAGTAAATTAGAACCTTAGAAATTATGTGCTGTCTTTTTGTGCTGAGATTTTGATTTTGTGGATTTAGAGCGTGCATTAGAGCCTTGCTGAATTTACTAACATTTTCCTACCCTGACGAGAGAATATCCTAACGAATTGAAATAATCAATCTAGAGATATTGGCTCAAAAACAACTATAGCTGAGTAGCTTCCCGTATGGGACCTCAGTATCCGCTGGGAAATTGGCTAACTAACAACAGTTCAGTATTGAATATAGGTAGTGTTGATTGAATGTTGAGTGTGTAAAATTTTAGCACAAAGACCAAAGACGGTATCTAATTTAAACTTTTTTGACTTAAATTATTGAATTAATGACTCACAATTATTATTAAATTGACACAGTATATTTCGATTTTTAAGGAATGTTAGATCCAGGGTTTCTCTGCCGTTCTCTTTCCCCTCAAAAATTCTAGGTCGAGAACGGTACGATTTACTTTAATAATAAAATAGACGTTTCACAAATTTTTCGTTTCTTTTACATATCACAACTTCCCTTAAATTTCCCAAATATTTGCTACGTCAGGCGCATGTCCAGTAAGTAAAATTGAGTAAGTTTCCACAACGTAGGTCCTATTTTTTTATTCATCGTTTTTCAGAAGATTTGTTGTTTGAAGGTAATACAAATTCTCATCGTTCAGTCTTACCGAACGAACCCGGGTATATTATACTACACTAAATAGAATTGATTTAAAAAATAGATACAAAATACCTAAATAGTAGGTAGCGGTGCATTTTCAGTTTTTGTGAAGCATAAATATTTAAACTTTGGTAGATTGCGTCCTCCCAAAATTGGTGAAAAATTATTCAATCTGAATGGCAATGAAAATGATAATGATCTTTTGCATACAGTCGGTCGAAATAGGGTCCAAATTATGTTTAAATCCGCTATAGGTGACAATAAAATAGTTGAAAATCAGGTATTTGAAAATAACAATCTTATTGCATATATTCCCTCTCATCTTACTCAAAAAATGGCCTTATCCGTCATGTTATTGATACATCTTTTTCACAGGAAGAAGATTCGAAAATTTTGAATTCATCATAGTTCCAATTAAGGCAGTACAGAGGAGATTTAAATTTGTTCTCGATAAGGATGGCAATAAAGTAAAAGTTCCTAGACCAGATTATTCTAACTTTCGATAATTTAGTCCTGCTACAATTTGTTTATATGTACCGATTGAGATATGAAGTTAATACTTGGTACTCCCCAGTCACTTAATGTTATAATTGTTTAAATTTTGGTCACACTGCTTTCCAGTGTAAAAGCAAACGATGCAAAACCTGTTCTAAAGTATTAAATGACGACGGACTGTGTACTGATAAAATGTCCTAAATACAACAACCAGGTTAAAATTAAGCAGGCTATGGTAATTCTCAATGCATCCTTTAAAGAACCGAAAAAATTGTAGATAACCCATCACCCATCTTATGCAAGCCTCGTTTCGAAAAATAAATTTGCTCCATTGTCTTTATAAAAACCGATTTTCCTGAAGAAATCAATCTAATCCCCCAAGTTCAAAAACGACATTTGTAGCACATCCACATTCCAGTAAGTCTATTTCTTCTTCCAGTGTATATTATGACAATAATAAAAAACGGAAAGTAAGTGATAGAAGCCCTTCTTTAGAACCCATTAGCAGAGAATTTTATTGGTCTTATACGGGTGCACCTAGGATTGAGTCTCATCAGATAAACACTAAAAATACTTTTGAAGGTCTAGTCTAAAGGATAAAATAATTGAAGATTTAACTTGTTGAATGAATAATTCAATCAGGAGTGAGAAATCTCATGTATCAAATATAATAAAAAATATAGGCTATATAATCAATAATACGAATACCCTCAAAAATATCTTTCAACAATTAATGGCAGCCATCACACAACAACTAATTGTAATTCGCTGGAATGCCAGATCTGCGTATTCATTCAAACCATAATTTGTTAAAAAACTTATTACAAGATTCTAATATTGATATTGCCATTTTAAGTGAAACTTGGTTTAAACCGGAGTACAAAATTAGTCTTAAAGGTTTTATTAATATTTTAGGAAAAATTGAATTAATGGTAAAGGTGGTGTGGCTATACTAATTAAAAAATCAATTTCCTTTTCCTAAAGATGATCACTAATAAGAGTTAAGCAAGAAGAAGTTAAAAAACACTTTAGCTTCTTGAAAAACGGTAGGGCACCAGGCCCAGGAGAAATATTTGGAGAACTGATAAACTCTACAAACATTTAACAAAACTATTTCAAACATGCATAGATAAACATGAAGTACCGGAAGAGCGAAAAATAAGCTATTTAACAACAATATAATAATATATAAAAGGACATAGAAACAAATGCGAGAACCACCGAGGAATTGCAGTAACAAATACGCTGAGCAGAGTGTATGGAAAACTCATAAAATCCAGAATAGAGAAAGAGTATAAAGATAGTGAGGCAGAAGAACAGGCTAGTTTTAGAGCAGGAAGATCAACTGTAAACCATTTATTTAGTTTGACCCAAATAATGGAAAAGAAACTAGCGTATAACCAAGAACTCCATTCACTCTTTGTAGATCTAAAGAAAGCATCTGACAATGTTCCGCTGAAAAAGATTTGGGAAGCACTTAGCAGTAAAAACGCTCTATTGTGATGCAAAGGCCAAGATTATACAGGGAAACATAATCAGTAAAGGCTTTAAGCAACATGCAGGGATGCTGCATATCACCAATACTTTTTGAAATACACTTAGAACAAGCGCTTAAGGGATGGAAAAACAAATGCAGGCACATGGGAATACCGCTCAATGAATATAATTTATATACTTTAAGCTTTGCAGATGATCAAATATTAATTGCACAGGACTATGATGACCTAGAGTACATGACACGAAAATTAATAGAGGAATACGAGAAATGGGGTTTGGAAGTAAATTTAACTAAAACAAAATATATGACTATTGGAAGTAAACAACGAACTCTGAAATTGAATACCGGACAAGCAATAAAACAATGTACTGAATACAAATATTTGGGCATGAAAATCTCACATGAGGGAACCCTAGACAAAGCAATTAAAAATCGAAATATATAAGGACGCAAGGCAATATCCCTACTAAATGGTGTACTGTGGGACCAAAATATCAACAAAACTAACAAAACTAGAATATACAACACCATAGTCACATATAATTCAGAAGTCTGGCCAGTAAAGAACAGAACCGCAAAAATGCTGGAAGCAACTGAAATGGACTTTTGGAGGAGATCGGCAGGCAGGTCAAAAATGGAAAGGATAACAAATCTGAGAATTAGGGAGATTAGGGACGTAAAACACATAATAGTAGATGATATAAAGGATAAATAGCTGATTTGGTTCGGACATGTAAAAAGAATGGCAGATACAAGAATACCCAAGCAAATTACTTATTGAGTGGAAGCCAGGGGAAAGAAGAACACGCAGCAGACCAAAAAGAAGCTGGAGAAGTGGAATGGACGAAGAAATAAGAGACAGAGACAGAGGCTTGGAGGAGGATGCCTGGATTGATAGAGATGGTTGGAGATTTGGGAATCAGAAGACATTGAACGTTATAAACCGATAATTATATATGTTACGGTTAATATGCAAACTTGGCTAGTTTGTAAACTAGCTGGATAGTTTACAAACTAGCCAACCCCGTGACTATTTTGATAGAAAGCGCAATTTCCACTAAAATAGCAGCTACTTTGCAAACTAACCAAGAGTCTTGGCTAATTTACTTGAAATTATTGAGAAAACTAAATTAGCTGGTTAGTTTATAAACTATCCAATGCAGCCTGGCTAATTTGAAAACCATGATTTCTAGTAACACAAAATAGCCAAACGTTTGCTTTTATCAACCTGATGATAAATTGACATTTACAAATCAAGTGAAACATCAGATTAAAAGTGAAGATGACATTCCAATTCATACAAATCATATAGATACGCTATATTCATAAAATGGTCAACAAACAAATCAAGAAAATGTTAAAAGATAATATAATTAGACCATTATGCAGTCCTTGGTCATCCGCAGTTTGAATAGTACCAAACAAAAAAGAAAGACTATAGAAAACTTAATGAAAAGACAATTGATTGATGATGGGTATCCTTTACCAAACATCACAGATATACTAGACAAATTAGGTCGTAGTAATTACTTTACAACTTTAGACCTAGCTTCAGGATTTCATCAAGTAGAAATGCATCCTGATTCTATATCAAAAATAGCTTTTAATATTGAAAATGGTCATTTCGAATTTCGAAGAATGCCATTTAATTTAAAGAACGCACCAGCAACATTTCAAAGAGCAATGGACAGTGTATTGTCCGGATTACAAAATAAAATATTGAAAGGTAGTTGACGTCCACACACTTGTAAATAAACGAAATTGCAGCTTTTTTGTACTTTTATATTCACATACTAATCAAATGCCAACGTTTCGACACGGATGCGTGTCATCCTCAGGGTCAGACTAATAATTGTGGTGCCTGTTCTTCGAAATTAATTATTTATGTTTTTTAATTTCGAAGGCACCACAAATTATTATTCTAGCCCTGAGAATGACACGCATCCATCTCGAAACGTTGGCATTTGATTAGTACGTGAATATAAAAGTCCAAAAAATAAAATATGCTTAGTGTACTTATATGATGGATGATATAATTACATTTTCAACATCTCTACACGAACACATTAAAAATTTAAAGAAAGAATTATTGGCGCTAGTTTGGGCTACTTAATACTTTAGGCCCTATCTTTTCGGAAGAAAATTTGCCATCTTATCAGACCATAAACCTTACAATGGTCATTTAACGTAAAAGAACCAAATTCTAAAGTAATAAGTTGGCGATTGAAACTATCAGAGAATATGACTATGAGATTGAATATAAAAAAAGGAACTTTGAATATGAACGCAGATGCACTATCAAGAAATCCTCCAATGCATCAAGTAAATGCTATTGATATATCATATCCTGATGCAAGATTAACAAAATCAGATGAAGAATTTCAAAGAAAATCAGGAGAAATGTCAAAAGGTACGCCTCTAGATAATGAAGAAATAATGAAAAACTACTTCGTAACCTTTTATGGCGAAAATCTTCTGAAGAGAAGGAAGAAGCATTATTAACTGAATCTTTTCAAGTAGGTAATGAAAACGGCATCAGAACCTAAGAAAAGTCCAAAAATTAAGATAATATCACAGGTAGTAATACCTCCAAAAAATAAGAAAAATGAAATTCCAATAGGAGAGGGCGAATCTTCGACAATGCATCAAGAAGAAAAACCTTTTCTTTCAGTAAGATCCAACTGAAGTTCTGAAGATTAAAAAACAATAATAGCACCTTCGGAAAATGAACAAACAATACATACATCACTTGAAGATCTAATATTAGGAGCACCCTATACTAAGAAACATTTAAATTTGTTCCAAAATCAAGTAATATTTCGATATTCTAATAATAATTCAATTCCAAAAGAAATAATTAAACCATTTCCTGATAAAAGAAGAATAATATTTTTCCTACCAAATAACCCAACATTACAACAAATAACTGATCTTGTTAAAGAATTTATGCCACCTGGTATATATTGTTTTTACATTTTCACGCATTGGAACCAATAATAATACGAGCATTACAAACGTCATTTAATGCCAATTCTTTTACATTGTATATGTATATCTAACTCATTCGTAGATATAATAGACAATAATATTCAACAAGTAAAAATAAAATACTTCCATGAAACCAAAACTTCTCATCGAGGAGTAATGGAAAATGTATCAGCTTTGGAAAAGCAATATTATTGGTCTTATATTGACAAAGATGTCCAAGCATATGTAAAAGCTTGTGAAATTTGTAATAAAACCAAATATGAACGTCAACCGTATAAAATAATATTTAAACCAAAAACCGATTGGATCAAAACCTTTCGAACATTTATATATTGATACTTACTTATATGATAAATAAAGAGAAGTTTTTTACTATTATTGATACCTTTTCAAAAATCGCTAACAACTAAAACAGCCGTGAAAATTGCATCACAACTTTCAAAGTACTTAGTGATCAAATCACGGAATACCTACCTCAAAGAATTACCTCGGATAACGGAGCGGAATTTGAGAATGCAATAATTACTGCTTTATGTACATTGTATAGAATTGAACTCCGAGAAATCCAACTTCAAACAGTCCTATTGAAAGATTCCATTCAACGTTGCGTGAAAGCATCAGAAGTCTACAACTTATAAGTCGATGAGTGAATTAATGACAATTATTGCTATTTTAAACTATAATTATAGTATTCATAGCATAACGGAATATACACCCTTTCAAATAATAAAAGGAGATTTGAATTTTGCTATGCCAATAGAGCAATCATATTGGGATGACACTGACCAGAAAAACTTACAATAGATTTTCTATGAAATTCATAGAAGAGAGCGACGTGATGTTGAAATATCCTCGTATAATGCACTGTTTCAAGTCAGAATAAAAATACTATACCTCTATACAAGCTTCCTCAATACTCCATACCCAAACAATAAAACGCCAATAAGATAACATAAATTTATTTGTAAATTCAATAGACACATTAGTACGGTTGTTTAACTAAAAATATTTAATATGAAAATCCTGTCTAGTCTTTTGGCACTAATTAATTATTAAAATATATTTTTGCTCTCGACTTTGTAAGTATGCTGCACAAAAATATACAAAATACATTATATATAATATGTAAATTCTCCATTGTTTATAAATATAAAATAAAAAAATAATTATGTTAAATTACAAGGCAGTCACACAATTTCTATCACATATTATTCCAAGCATACATATACAGGGTGCTCCAAAAATAATGGCTAATCTATTTCAGATTTTGTAACAACCTGTAGACTAAAAACACCTACATACATTCATAAACAAAAAAATGGTTTAAATTTATAAGAAAAAAAATAAAATAAATTATTTACACAGTGATTTAAATAAATTATGGCCAATAAATTTGTCTTATCAATAATAAAGTATCCATTTTTTCGAGCTCACTCCATAACATTCATTCAATGTAACTAAAATAAAAATAAATAAGGCACATAAACAATCGCTTCACGCGTTTTTTTTGAGCTTCTGATGATGCTAAAGGGACTCGAAACCTGATATATCAGACCCCTGAAATTAAATTATTAGAGTTGAAATTTTTCTTATTAAAAACGTACCCTGTCTGGTTTGTACAGATGCGTATGGGGTAGCAAAAATGTTGATCCCAAATCGCGTTCAGCCATTGTATTGGCCTCCTAAAATATTTTCATTATTTTAAGTAACGTAGTAATAACACTCACCTACATCGTTTTGGTGCGTTAATGACTTTGTATCGTATTCGCTTCTAGTAAATGACTTCATTGGCGGAGGTATGGTCGTTTCGTCGTAAGATCTAGACTCAGAAACAGTGCTAAAAATAATTAAATACAAAAAACTATAATTATATTCAACTATACTACAAGTACCTTATTCTAGGAATATCCATCCAATTACTGTTTGATTCCAAATCGTCGTCTCTAAAAATAGGAATTATGTTAAAAAAAAATAAACAATATTATTGTTACTCAACTTACACTAGAGAAGATTTCCTAAGAGTATTAAACTGGGACGAAGTGTCGGCTCTTGAAAGCAAGTCGGCACTAATTTTTTGAATTAGTGTCGCATTTTCGCTTCTATCAGCCTCAGTGCCGCAAGTAGTTCCTAAGAAAAAATTACCTATCAACCTCAATCCTTCAAAAATCAATCCACTATTACCTAAAGTTCCTACTGTTGCTGAAACTTCAAATCCGGCCGAAATCAAAGCTCCAGAAGTTTTCCTAGAGCTTGGTTTTTCTTCAATAAACTGTTCGCTTAAGGCATTACTATACTTCCTCTTTGAATCAGCCTTTCAAAAAAAAATCACTTACATAAGATAATAATTCTTCAGGAGATTCATACAACTTACCCTTGAAGGACTAGGTCCAGCATCTAAATAGCTTAAAAGTTTAGCTTCATTTGTCACTGATGGTATGCTAGGCTTCCTTGCGTCAAATGTTGTATAATTCATCATGGGTGACGTTGGTGGAGCTGGATGGTATTTGGCTCTAGGAATCATCACTGTCAAAGACCTGTCTTTTTGTTCTGGGAATATTATTCCTGGCTCAGAATGTTCTACACTGGTCATTGACACTTTGGAAACCTTCTTCAAAGCCCCTTTAGGTGGAGGAGGTTTCAGTTTAGGCTGTTGTTTCTGTTGCACGTAAGGAGGTACCGAATTGGTTTCGCTGCGGCTATCCTCCGAGCTGGTATCTTCAATCATCGCTCTTCTATCAAGGTTTCTGTTGGAACCCACACCACCAACTCTTTGAGGTAGGAATCCGATAGCTCCTCCGGACTTTTTGGGCTTCTTTCTAACGCACGTGAGAATAATGCAGACTAGAAGTAGGGCAAACAGGATTGTACCAAGAGTTACCAAAGCTATCAAGAGAACTGCAAAATAAAAATAAGTTACTAAGTATACGAAATGTGGATTAACTAACACACCTTTGAGATTAACTTGACAGTTTTCGCCAGCGTACCAATGGAAGCATTCGCAAAGTAACTCCTCGGAACCTCGAGTGTAACAAGTACCATGATAATTGCATTTCTCACAACCCACTTGTTCTGCACTACAAATTCTACCTGGATAGAGCATATTTTCACTCAAATCTAAAAAAAAAAATCTTGATGAAAAAAACTGCTCCAAAAACCACCCAATTTCTCACCAGAATATCCTTCCTTGCAAGAACAAGTATAAGTTCCGCGCAAATTGAAGCACTGAGCATTTTCGGAACAGTCGTGCAACTTAGGGTTTTCACATTCGTTGAAATCTTGAGCCCTAAGATTTGCGAGGGTCTGTTGCGAAGCTATTACGTCAGTACCGCCCAAAGAATAATTGTTATTTCTCAGGTATTTTTTGAATATGTCTTCCATGCGGATTTCATCGATGTTATCGGATAGCTGAAGATAGAAACCACTAACCACTCCATTGCTAGCTGGATAAAATGAAGTCACATGGACTCCATGGTACACATCCCTCAAGTCAGATTGCATAACCATGCGATCCAGGGCTTCGTGGACTTTTCTGGCCATTTGGATGAACTCTGTTGTGTTTTCCATCGCAAGCTTGTCTGAATATCTGGCAGGAGTCTTTCCAAACTTGTCTATAGTTATGTTCATACTGTAAGTGTATGTAGCTGAAAACATGCAATAATTAATAATTTGATAAAGTTTGTGAGGCTTTCGCGGCCCAGGTTTATTGATAAAGTGTTTTTATTCGGGCCCTATGGCCGTCGTGGGTTGGAATTTCTTCCTGAAGTTTCGCTACGAGGTGCTTCCATGTCCGGTTCTGGTAGCAGACTGACGCGTTCCCGACCGTAAGTTGTATTTATGTGTGAGTGGTTGTGGTGGAGGAGGGGTAGGGCTTCGCAGCATGTGGCTAATCTCAACTTTCTCTGTACTCAATGGGATCTTTTTTGCGTTTTTGAGGATCGAGTTCCAAAGAACCCCGCACAAAATTATAGGAAAGTGGCCCGCAGTGAGATTTAGCCGAAATTTATATATATTGTAGGTATTGAGTTTCTGGTTTCTGATCAAAAGTTCTTATTGGTCGAGTTATTGTTACAATCCTCTAAGACCCCTAATGATTTAGGTCTCAGGGCCGTATTTAGTATAGGTGTCCAATAAACAATGACACTTTTTTCTCAAACCCATAACTTTTCATTTCCTATCCAGGTTATGTATTTAAATGCGAAAAATTGTATAATAGGCTAGTCAAAATAGGGGGTTGGGGTAGAAAAAAATTATTAACAAAGTGATCTCTGCGGAAATGAGTAGTCAATAGGGTCCTTATTAATCCCTCAAAAATCGCACTTTGTCGCATTGGTGGAACTTGGAAAAAAATGGCCGCCATCTTGATTTTTTTGGAATTTATTGAATAATTCGTAAAGTATGCATTATATCAAAAAACTCAAGAGGACTTTTTTGTGGAGAATCAAAAGTTACCTTTAATGGGAGAAATTTAAAAACCATCAGCTGCAAACGAAAAAGTTATTGACATTTATTTCATTTGGCAACATGGAATTTGAAAAAAACTCAAATAAGTATTTTTTTTTTTTGGTGCAGAATTAAAAACTACATTTAATAGAAGAAAAATTCAATTAATTTAATGATCTAAATATTTTTGTTGAGAGGAAGTAAAAACGCATATGACCAGAAAAACATTTGAGCAGGAAACTACCCAGACACAGACAGCACACAAAGTCTTGAAGACGTCTTTTTCAAGTCTGCATTCTGCATTACATTTGATCGTCTGAAGACCAAAAAAAAAAAAACGTCTAAAAACTTCCATAATCAGATGTCCTAAATTCACATCTCAAGGATAACTGAACTGAGCCACACTATTTCGTTCAGCCAGGCCTAAAAGTGAATAATGGTTCATGTATTGAAAAGAAATTTAAAGACCTTTTAAAAATTTCGTTGGAGAAGAAGAATGTCTTAGTTCTAAAGGCGTCTTTATAGGCAGACTTCTGAAAGGCGTTGGGTTTTGTAACATACGTCGTCTTTAAGATGTCTTTAAGACGCCTTAAAAATTTCCCACAGAATTCGTTTTTCATTTAATTTTAGAAGTTACTTGAAACCAATTAGAATCCTACAGAACACTCTAGAACTTCAATAATAAGCCTTTTCGAAAGTTCAAAACACTTAAAATTCAACTTATAATTTCCAACAGCATTGTGTAGCGCTTCAGAACATTTTGAAAACTTCAGAACCATTATTAGAATGGAGTATTTTGGAACAATTTAGAAACTTCAGAGATATTTTAGAACAATAACGATTCAATTTAGAACTGGAAACCTTTTAGAATGCTTTTAAACCAATTCAACTTCACTTTGGAACTTCAATAGGGCTCTAAAATACTTAAAAATCTGTCAATCTGTCAAATGAACATTTTGAAATTTAACATGGATCCTTCGAAGAAGTGTACTTCCCAATTTAGAAATTCCTGAAAAACTTCTAGAATGCTCCAGAACCCAGTCAACTTGGAACACTTTAGACAAACCTCAGAATTGTGCCAGAGAGCCTAATAAATAATAATAATAAAAATAAAATGAGTAATAAATAAATAATAATGAAATATTAACAAGAAAATGTTCCTCTTTCAATTCAAATTCTTGAATTTTTATATTTTTTTCTATTCCAGGCTCTTGATTTTTCCTTACTTCTTTATCCTAAATTCTTAATTTTCTTTTGGCTTAGATTTTTTTTTCCATGTTCTTGAATTCTCATTATTCCTGTATTTTAGAATTTCAGGCTCTTGACTTGTTTTTCAAATTTCAGTCCTGTCTCTTCAAATAGTTTCCTACCAAAATGAATTTTTCGTATGTTTCCGTTTAAAGAAATCAATAATTTAAGACCCTAGCGTTTAGAATAGACAAAAATTGAAAGTTATAAAATGAGTAATAATAATAAAATATCAGTTCTGAAGACGTCTTTCGGCAGACGTCTGAAAGGCGTTGGGTTTTGTAACACGACGTTTTTAAGATGTCTTTAAGACGCCTTGAAGACGTAAGCCGACGTCTGAAAGACGTCCTGAATGTCGTTTGTGGACATCTTAGGGACGTCTTTAAGATGTCTGTGTACTATCTGGATAGACACTAAGTAATTCAAATAAATTAAAATAGGTATCTTTAATCCTCTACTAACAGGCATTCTTAAGTTTCATTAGAAAAATCCATATTTACATTTCGCGATTTTACCTAAAGTTCAAAAATTTCCAGATTTTTAAATAAATTAATTCCCAATAACTTTTTTGTTTTCCAGCTTCTAGTGTTGAAATTTCTTTTATCATAAGTAACTTTTTATTCTCCACAAAAAAGCACTCTTGAGTTTTTTTGATATAATGCATACTTCACGAAATATTCAATAAATCCGAAAAAAATCAAGATGGCGGCCATTTTTTTTCAAGTTTCACCGATGCGACAAAGTGCGATTTTTGAGGGATTAATTAGGACCCTATCGACTACTAATTTTCGCAGAGATCACTTTGTTACTAATTTTTTCTACCTCACCTGCATAAACCTGCCTAGATTGACTATACTAATAAGAAATCTGATCCTCAGAGACAATCTCACTTTGCTAATTGCCAAGCTTACTGACTGTCTTGTGGTATAAGCGAAAATTATCTCCAAAAATTCGTCAGATACGCCTTGTTTTAGCTTGCACAGAAATGCTAAATGGTCTTTCTTGAGTACATAATAATACATTATCTGAATCCATCAGCTTCACCGAGAATAGGATCACAATATCCAAACAATTCTTGAAGTTGATTTTTTTTTTGAAATGGAATATTTTAAATTCGTCATCCGCATAGGAGTTTTCATCACAAAAATCTTGGGTTTTTTCATTTGCAACGGTACGAAGACCTTGCAGGAAGTCTTGGAGAGTTTTTCCTTCCAAAGGGTATGGGAAGTTTACAGACTCTAATCCAGGCAACAAAGCATTAAATATGAGTCTTCGTTCGTCCAAACGATGGTCGCAACATTTTACTCCCTCAGGAATGTAAATATTTTGTTCAATAAATACACTAACTTGGGCTGCTAAAGATATTCTTAGAAGATTTTCGAGGGCATTGCATACACAGCATTTTTTGTGGGATCTTTGTGTTATGATGTTTAATCGTATAGGTACTTGCGGGTTCAAGTTAGTGCTACACAAACAAACAGACCTATGGCTTCTTTCATTTCGTCTTGTGACAGCAATTTCCCTTTTATGGACGTCACCCACTCGGTCGATCCGTGCTATTCTCCGTACATCATATACCGTCATACAGACTTAACATGGAAATATGGGATCCATTTTCACTTTTTAAAGAAAAGTGTTTTAAAAAAATCAAAAAACAACTTAAGAATATATAGGCTTAAACTCGAAGAAATTCACTAAACAGAACACAAACTGTGAATGTGTCAAATAATAATAAAAAAAAAATTGTGTGCTCATTTTTTTTCCAAGGCAGATTTGATTGATTATTCTTTTATACTCTCAATACAGGGTGAGACACGAAAAACTTTCCACCCAGGTTTTCTCAGGTGTTAGGAGATTAATAAAAAATCGCTCGAACACGACAATTTTTGTTTTTTGGGGGACACATTTTATTGGTATTTTCACCCCCTACCTGTCAACCCCTAAGTGGAGGTGACAGGTGCCCCCAAAATTTCAAATGAAAAAGGGGGCCAAGTGATACGTCATTTGATAGCTATTTTTATTAAGATTATATGCCAGAAGTTTCAAGTTGCTATTATTTACCCTGTCGAAATGGCGGCAAAGTTAGGAAAAATCAATGGAAAAATGCTGTGTGGTTTTCACCTGCTACCTACGCATAGGTGTGACAGGTGAAAACTATACAGTTTAGATTATCGAAAAAAAGCATTTATCCTAACTTTGACATGCCGCCATTTCGGCAGGGCTAATAGTAGCAACTTAAAACGAAAATAGCTACCAAATGACATATCAGTCGACCCCTCTTTCCATTTGAAATTTTGGGGGTACCTGTCACCAGGGGCGGATGGGCCAGCAGGGATTTTGGGAAGTTTCCCGAAGGGCCGCTTGCTTCCGGGCCGGTCGAAGCATATATATAATATGGAAAAATAAAATCCTTCATCTTTAAAAACTATTTTTTATCAAGAAATTCAGTCATACTCTTTTACTGGGAAATAAAATAATATTTAAGGTACTTTTCTGCTAGCCCCTAGTGATGACACAAGGTAAGCGCGCATTTCTACGTATAGGGCTATATAACGTCTGAACGTCTGAAAACCAAAAAAAAAAAACGCCTAGAAGACGTTGTTTTGAAGATGTCCATAGATGTCGTAAATTCATATCTTAGTGATAGCTAGTTGGTTCAACCAAGTTTGAAAGTGAATAATGGTTTATGTATTGAAAAGAGAATCCAAGATGTCTTCAAGACATCTCGTTGAAGAAGTCTTTAGAATGTCTTAGTTCTAAAGACGTCTTTAGGCAGATGTCTGAAAGACGTTGGGTTTTGTAACATTACGTCTTCAAGAGGTCTTTGAGACGCCTGATAGACGCAAGCAAGCGTCTTGAATGTCATTTTTGGACATCTTAGGAATGTCTTTAAGATGTCTAGAAAAATTTCTTTGGGCTGCAAGGCTCTCTCATATCTACTGCCGCCTAGGGCCTGGTAGAACCTTGAACCGTCGCTGAGTTTGAGATTTTTTCTCCATATTTTCAATGTTAGTAGTGAGTACCTATTCATATCACGTACCTCACCACATCATTTACCATTAGATAGGTACCTACTTAAAAAAAATAGGGGCCGGTACCAACGGTTTCCCGGGCCGGTTTTAGGCTCCCCATCCGCCCTGCCTGTCACCCCCAGTTAGGGGTTCACAGGTAGGGAGTGAAAATACTAATAAAATGTGTCCCCAAACAAACAGAAATTGACGTGTCTGAGCGATGTTTGATTAAACATTTAACACCTGAGAAACTCTGGGTAGAAAGTTTTTCGTGTCTCACCCTGTATAAATCACAATAAACTGAACCGTTTTAAACAAACATTACGTTCTATTTTAACGCTTTGATCTGCCCACTATTTCACCCCGTTAAATATTTGCTCCATTTCGACAAGTGAAAAGTTGCCATATTGCATCTGTTATTAATTTTTTATCTATTTCTCTCTTCCTTAAAAAGCTACATATCGTCGCTGTCAGTACGAAGGGGCCTATCTCGATATTTGGTGAAAATGAGTTATTCCCATAAAAATACTTAACAGAACCATATTTATATTGCGACGAACTGGCATATCTCCATAATACACCATGTGGTCATTATTCAATTTTAGCGGCATATCTGCTTTGTCAAACAGCCAAACATTTGTTTTTGTTTTGTTATTACGAACGGGCCTATCTTCTTAAATAATTTATTTGCAGAAAAAGTCCAATATTTTCTTTCAAAAAAGATATGTCTCAATGTTCTAAGTATACTTTTGTGTTATTATGTACCATCGTCACCAAAAGTAACTGGGACAGCATTATATTAGCTCTTGTACTATTATACGAATTTTATTGTCAAATATTTGTCAAACTATGAATCAAATGCATTGAAATGAATGACAGTAGAATTAGTCCAGGAGATTATTATGCATTATTTTTGTCCCAGATACTTTTGGTGACGATGGTACATGAAAAAACAAGTTCCGATACTGAATTATATCCAGTGCTACAGACAAAATGAACAGTGAAGTTTTCTCCAAAACGGTCTCCTGAAAAGTTGTTAAATCAGAGATTGGCTACTTCGTAATGACAGCGACGATATGAACAAGACTATCGGCTAGAGATAATGGCCATTTTTTGTGACTGGAAAAGAAAGCTACATTTATCTTCTAACAAACCAGCTAGCAACATGAAAATATGTCAAGAAATAAAAAAGTTATAACACGATACACAATCAATTTTTAATTCGATTTTTTTCGGGTACCACTTGGCAAATACAGCTTTACTAAATACGGTCCTGTAGGATAATACATGATTCACAGAGGACTTGTGCTATAAAACACAAATACTAAGTTTATACAATTTTCCGCATTTAAATTCAATACCCAATCTGAGAAAAAAAACTGTCATTGTTTATTGGGCACCTATACTAAATACGGCCCTGAGAGCTAAATCACTGGTCTTAGAGGATTGTGCCAAAAAGAAAATTTGATCAAAAACTCATTACCTACAACATATGTAAATTTCAGCCAAATCCCACTGCGGGCCACTTCCCAAGTCTATAAAGTTAGCAGTGCAAAGTCAGCAGTGCAAAATTTTTATGATTGGAAAAATTAGTGCTAAGTAAGTGCTAATTTAATGCCACGTTCACAAATTTTGTGCTCTTGTATTTTCCGAGATATGGCCTGCACTGCTGGCTACCCGTTAAAGATAGCAGTGCACCATCCAGGAAAGTGGTATGGTGATATAAATGATGAAAAAAATTAAATGCTATACCACTTCAGCTTTTTTTCGTATATTTTTTTAAAACAACGCGGTGCACTGCTAGATTTACGCAGTATGTATAAAGAGTTTTCATGAAAGAATGAGTTGGTGGAGTTTTCCACATTGGAGTAATTTAGTGCTAATTAAGTGCTAATAAATGCCAAGTTCACAAATTTTGTGCTCTTCTAGTTTCCGAGATATGGCCTGCACTACTAGCTACCCGTTAAAGATAGCAGTGCACCATCCAAGAATAATCCAGGAAAATGGTAGGGTAATATAAATTATGGAGAAAATTGAATGCTAATTAAATGTTACCATTTCCATAAACAAAATCTCTATTTTCAGCTTTTTTCCGCATATTTTTTCAAAAACAACGCGGTGCAGTATGCAGTACACATGTTGAGTTTTTATGAATGAAAAGGTTGGTAGAGTTTTCGACATTGGAATAATTTAGTGCTGATTAGATGCTAATTAAATGCCAAGTAACCAAATTTTGTGCTCTTGTATTTTCTGAGATATGGCCTGCACCAGTGCCTATTTTTGATATAGTTGGGCCCCAAGGCCCAAGCAAAACTTCGGGCCCCCAATATCCTATAATGATGATACAGCGATAAGAACCGACATCCGATAGCCGGTAACTATTTTGACATTTGGTTAATCAGATTCCAGGAAACCATAGTCCTAAAGTAGGTAACCACTTTTCCAGGAACCAGAGTAATTTGATTACTTTCGGACCGCGGAACCATTATAATCCACACAAAAGGGCATACTGGAATACTGGACATACGATATACGTTTTTTTTTTGTGTGTTTATTTTCGAATTGAAATGTTATTTTTTTTTTCAAGCCTTTTTCGGGGCCCCACTTGCCACCAGGCCTAAGTCCCGGGCCTTATGGTAAAATAGGCCCTGGCCAGCGCTGCTAGCTACCCATTAAAGGTAGCAGTGCACTGCATTGTTTTTAGAAAATATACGAAAAAATGCTGAAAATAGAGATTTTGTTTATGGAAATTATAGCATTTAATTAGCATTTAATTTTCTTCATAATTTATATCACACTGCCACTCTGCTGAATCATTCCTGGGTATTGCACTGGCACTGCTATCTCCAAAGAGTAGCTAGCAGTGCATGCCTAATTTCGAAAACTACCAGAGCAAAAAATTTGGTAACTTGGCATATAACTAGCACCTAATTAGTACTTAATTATTCCAATGTCGAAAACTCCACCAACCCATTCTTTCATGAAAACTGAATATGTGTACTGCATAAAACTAGCAGTGCACTGCGTTATTTTTGAAAAATATACGAAAAAATACTGAAAATAAAGATTTTGTTTTATGGAAATGGTAGCATTTAATTAGTATTTAATTGTCTTCATAATTTATATCACCCTAGATAGGTACCACTTTCCTGGATCACTGGCACTGCTATCTCCGAAGAGCAGCCAGCATTCCACATCTCGGAAACTACAAGACCACAAAATTTGGTAACTTGGCATTTAATTAGCACCTAATAAGCACTAAATTATTCTAATTTCGAAATCTCCACTAACCCCTTCTTTCATAAAAACTCAATACCTATGTGTACTGCATAAAGCTAGCAGTGCACCGCGTTGTTTTTGAAAAAATATGCAGAAAAAAGACATTTTGTTTAAGAAAATGGTAGCATTTAATTTGCATTCAATTTTCTTCATTATTTATATCACCCTACCATTTTCCTGGATCATTCCTGAATGTTGCACTGCTACGGGTAGCTAGCAGTACAGGCCATATCTCGGAAGCTACAAGAGCACAAAATTTGTGAACTTGTCATTTAATTAGCACTAATTTTTTCAGTCATAAAATTTTTGCACTGCTGACTTTGCACTTCTAACTTTATATACCATGTGACAAAAAAACGCATCACTCACTAAAAGTGTATATTTTGTTAACAAATTTTTTTGGTGTATACAAACTAGGTTACAAAAAAAATGCATCTCCCACCAAAAGTGTATATTTTTTGAACAAATTTTTTTGGTCTTGGTCAAAACTAACGGAAGCATATGTAGAAAATTTGTTAAAAAAAATATATAATTGTCGTGGGTGATGCGTTTTTTTGTCATTCACTATATATTATGTGTCTTCCGGATACCACAATCGTCTTGTAGATGAAGCTATAGAAATCCACAAACATACGGAACACTTCAACAGGAAACAAGAAACACTAAAACTCAACCAAATCTGGAACACGATCCTCAAAAACGCAAAAAAATATCCCATTGAGTACAGAGAAACTTCAGATTAGCCACGTGCTGCGAAGCCCCAGCACAACCATTCACACATAAATACAACTTACGGCCGGGAACGCGTCAGTCTGCGACCAGAATCAGACATGGAAGCACCTCCGAAGCATCAGGAAGAAATTCCAACTTAAACGGCCATTAAGCCCGAATGAATCAATAATTTCCTAGTGAATTAAAATGAATCACTTACGATTACATGGTCTATCGGGGAACATCCTAGCAAATCCAGGCCTGCAAACACACCTCATCACTCCCTCAACTTTCTGGCACAATTCATTTCTGCTAGGTTTACACTCCGGACTACATCTGTCCTTATTCCTCTTATCACTGTCTGTAGCATCAAGTGGTTGGTTGGCTATAAGGATACCTGCTAAAAGAGCATTGTCCACTTCGTTTTCTGTTATTTCGTCTCTGTGTGGAGTGTCATAAGATTGATCAGTTGGAGCCGCAGTTGTTTTGTCTTTGTCGGAAGTTTGAGGGGGCATTTTGATTATGGTGCCTTTGTTTTTGTCTGTCATGACTACGAATATTGATTCATTGCTGTCGTAGTTTTCCTGCGGACTAAAAATACACAATTAATTTAAAATGACTAGAAAATAATCAAAAAATGTTTCACCTTATAGCATCACTGTCACTATCCTTAATAATAAAGTCTTCCAAAGAATCCTCATCATCATCACTACTTAAATCAAAACCTCCTGTGGAACTAATAATGTCACTAGGCTTGATGCTTGGTACAACAGCACTTGGTCTCACTTGCACTGCCGGATATAGCGAATTTTCAATAGTGGTGGTAACAGTTTCTACAATATTTGTAGGTCTCACTAAAGTATGGAACTCTGTTACCGTGTCCACAATATAGCTTTTTTCTGTTTTGGTCACCAATATTGTTAATGTACTCGGAGGGCCTCCCAAAGTTTTCACTACAGTAGTCTTCGTTATAGTGACTGTATGGGTTTTAGTGTGAGTAATATATCTTGTAGGCAATATCGGAGATTTGCTGCTAATAGATGGCTTAATCGCTTCATCAATAATTTTAACCTCATTACCACCATGATGAATTGGTTTAGTAATAATATCGTTTAGGTCTTGTGGTATTGTGATAATTAATTCTGGAGTAGATTTCGTAGTTACTTCGGATGAAGCACTAGCCTGATCTTGAGGTTGACCAACAATAACCTCCATAGAAGGAGTACTTTTGATTGTAGGCGTTGGTGTTATCGAAGTGTTATTTTCTGGACGCTTATGTATAATTGGCCTTGAAGCAGTAGTTCTTGTTCTAAAGTAGCCTTGATAAGGAGTTGTAGGAGTAGTTGTTGATGTAGTTGTACGTCTATATCCAGGCTGTCTTCGAAGGGGTGGCAATCTTGGCCGTTCATATTTTTTGGTTGTAGATGAAGGAATATCAACTTCCATAGATAAAATGGGCTTGTGAGTTGAAACTAATGGGGGCGGATTCATGCCTAAAACAATCTCGGTTGTTGCACGAGTAGTTTCAGGAGATGGTGGTACCATTTCTTCAGACAAAGTATCTATGTGTGGCACTCTTACAATATCCTTTCCAGGAGAGTTTACGTCTATCCTTGGTGGTTCCATTGAAACGCTTGGTACTTTTAGGACATCGTCAACAAGAGGTGGCGGTTGCAAAACTTCCATGCTATTGATTTGTTGAGTTATATTAGCATATGCTTCACTATTTAGTAAAATTGCTGGATTAATAGTTGTAGATTGAGCCGTGGAAGGCTCGGCTATATTAACTTCGTTAGTAGGTTGTTTTGATGGATATTTAGAGCTGTCGAAAGGTTTTTCTGTTTGTGATTGATGATGATGGTTTTCTATTTTTGGAGTTGTAGAAGTTGATGTCTGAGTGTCAATAGGTAATGAAGTTACTTTAGGCCGATTGTTTCTCGTAGGTTTTCTGTTGAGGAAGTTACTTTGTTGTCCATGTTCATCAATAAATATTAAAACAGGTTTTTGAGAGGTAACAGCAATAGTTGGTTTGGGTTTTTCAGTTGTGGTAGTTGATGGCCTCCTACTAACATCCAACAAATTATTCTCTTCAGTTTGTGATTCTTGTAAACGAATTCTGATTTCTTGTTCAGTTGTTGTTGTTCTTTGTGAAGTTGTGGGTTGATAATATTCAGAACTAGGAGGTTGTCTATAGGGGAACCTTACAGGTGTGCCATTTTCGGATCTATCAGGGAACCTGACCATATCCGGAGCTCTTTCAGTTGTACGTTGCAAAACTTCTATTGGAACTTTACTTGGTCTTGAATTTGATTCTTGCACAACTTCGCCATCCTCGTTTGGTAAATCGTCTTCTAAATGTTCATCTCCAGAATAGAGGTCGTCATTTTCAGTTTGTTTATAAAAATTATCTTGATGATATTTGTTAAAGTTTGGACCAGCATCTGGACGTTGATGGTTAGTGTTGGATACTTTTTGTGAATCAAAGTGCGACGGGAATATTTCATCGGAATTTGGTTCTAAGCTTGTTAATGGACGTTGAGGATTTTGAGCCGAAGCGAATCTGTTAATATTATTGTGTTGCTGCTCAGGCATCAATGGTATAGGTACTCGTTCCTTATTTGGAACATATCCATGTCTGAATGGAGGTCTCTTATTAGGCTTATTTACTGGAGGCGGAGGTGTCATAAATTCAGAAAGTTCCAATTGAGGCCTAGGTCTGGGCCTCAATAAGTTTCTTTTGGGCGGATACGGATACTTGGGTTTCTTTGGCCTTTGAGGTGTATTGGGTTTTGGTTTAGGCTCTTCCAAATAAACTGGCTGAGGAGGTCTCATTTCTTGCGACAATTCATTTTGAGTTTGATGAGCGGCAATGTTTCTCATTGGTTCTTTGTGCTGATAAGTCGGTTGAAGCGGAACGTAATTTGGTCTAGTATTATTGTAAACTGTCAATGGAATGTTTGGAAGCTGTACGACCACATTACCGCCTTCATGGTTGATAATGTGGGCATTGACGTCTCCGTGCTCTTCAACCATACCGAAAGATAATGGGGGTGGTTGGATGATGTGTTGCTGATTGTGAGCATTTGGATTATTATTATTTTCTTGTCCAAAGTTCACTTGAGCATTTCCGAAATGATGACTGTTAAGGTTTGTTGGTTTATTATTTCCATGTCCAAAAGGCAAATGCGTATTAATTTGAGCATTACCAACAGGTAACTGGTCGTTTTGGACCTGCTGGTGCTTGTTACCATTTGTCTGGTATATATTTTCGTTCTGTATGTTTACTTGAGGATTACCGAAGTTTATCTGTTGATTTTGCTGATGCTTGTTACGATTTTCCTGGCCAAAAGCTATCAATTTAGGTGGCGCTACGTTCACGTGACCTCCAAACTGTACCTGGTCATTATGGTGGTGTTGGTGCTGGTTACCATTTGCCTGATGCACATTTTCCTGGTCAAACGTCATAAGCTTAGGTGGCTGTATGATCACTTGACTTTGATGATTACTATTTCCCTGGCCAAAAGACATTATTGCAGGCGGTTTAACATTGATTTGAGCATTACCAAAGTTAACTAGGTCGTTTTGGAACTGCTTATCGTTGGTGTTAACTTGAACATTCTCGACACTGCCTTGTCCGAAAGACAATGGAGGCGGTTGTATGTTAATTTGAGCATTGCCAAATTGTACCAAGTCGTTTTGAATTTGTTGATTGTGTACAGGCCGTGAAGGATTTATCTCAACAGGAACCTTTTCATTGGCACTAGTGTCGGGTTCCACTTTAATAGCATGACTCACTTGTGTGCCTACTTTAATTACTCCCGACACTTGCTGCGTATTTACATTATTCACATTCAGTTGAGGAGTATCTTGGTACACAGAAGCAAATTGGGGCGCTCCATTTTTAAAACTTTCTATCGGATTAAATTCAGGTTCTGGATACGGGCTTGGGTCGTCAAAGTATTGGCCATTATGATGGGTTTCAGTTGACCCTCCGTAAATTAAGGCTGTCGTTCGATTGAAAGGTATATTCACGAAGGCTACTTGAGATGGCTGTAGTTGAACCAGCAAAGGCTGTCCAGTGCTGCGTTCAATAACTTCTGGAAGCACTATAGGCACTTGTTGCTCCGAAGCATAAATAGGAGGATAGTTTTGTTTTTGAGACTCTATTTGGTAGTTTTTGTGAATGGTTTCTTGCAAGTTCTGCTCGATTTTTACAGGAGCATTGTTTGCGTTCACTTGATAAGGTGGAGGCTGCTCGCCAGAATATTGTGGAGCATATTGGCTTCCCACAACATAATTATTATACTCGTGTTGTACTAGTTTACTGTGAGGAGCTAGAGGTATATGCTTCCTCTTTTCACCTCTAAACTTTTCCTTGAGTGGAGGTGGTGGGCCAACATAATCATCCTTATTAGGAGCGTGAATAATATTGGTTTGTGCAGAAACCTGGTCTCCTAAAACAGCTATTTGCTGTCTATTTTTCCAGTTGCTTGGCTTTTCTAGTAATGGAGGCGGTTTCATGCCAAAAGGCACTTCATTAGTCTCGTGGTGTAAAGGTATAGCGGATGGTAGTCTTGGACCAACTCGTCCAGGTTTGCCAACAATGACGTCCGAATTTGCTGTTATTATATCACCAGGGCTTATGGGAATACCATTGTGGCCCAATAAAGATGCTTCCTGAGATTCACTCCAATCAAACGAAGCAATATTTTGACTTTCTGCTATTTCAAAATCTTCCCCGTTCATTCCTCTTACTGGAATATAAACTGGAGATCGGTTTTGGGTGTCAACTGCAGGTGGTACTGTTGACGAGTCTTTTTTCTTTTCAATAAGTTGCTCATTGGTACTATTAGCGTCATTTCTTCTAGTTGACTTTAAATTTTTGTTAATGTAGCCTGCCATCGCACTAAGTACTGGCGTCAAAACTTGTTTTATGTTAATAGAACCGAGTCCCAGCAAATCAGCTGCTGGAGTTACTGGCTGCTTGGTACTGCTGATTTTAGCTGGATGATTTTGCTTTTTTGTTTTATCAGATTTTTTGGCGGCACTAGTGGAAATTGCTGGAGCCGCTTTACTAGGATTCACTTTATCCTTGCTCTTTTTATTTCCTACTTTTTTAACTTTACTTGTCACTATATCTACTCTGGTTTTTTTGACAACTTCAGAGGATAAAAGTGATTCTAAGTTGTTTTTGACAGCAGTTGTTGAAGCTAAATCAGGAGTTGGTTCTAAATTGGCGAAAGGATCATCATCTACGAAAACAATAGTCGAACCAGTAATGATATTATTTGGTTTTGAAGATGTAAAACTGTCTTCGAGGTTTAGTTTTTCATCGATACTTGCCTCAATAAGTGGCATTTCAGTTTTTTGAATAGGCAACGTTTTAGTAGGTTCAATTTCGTTGTGCTTTTCATTTGCTCGAACAGTTATTTCAATTTGTTGGCCATCGCCCAGAGTGGCAAGTTTCTGGATTCTATCTGAACCACCTTTTAATTCATCGGATAAAGATTCTAAGTATTTTGAGTCAAATAAGTTGGGTTCCAATGTTTCTGTAACGACATTTTGTACTACTTTAGTGCGTGAGTTGATAATGGTGCTCTTTTGTGGGTCATTTTCTTTTAGAAGAGTTGTGAAGTAAGTAAAAGTAGTGAAATACACTCGTGTGGCAAGGATGTCAAATTTATGGTCATCGTTTTTGGTGTTTTTCTTCTTTTTCTCGTCAATTATAGGCTTTTTGGTTTGCAAAAGTACTTTTTCAACTACCACGTCGCTTTCAGTGGAAACATTTGTGTAAACTTTCGGAACTCCATTATCTAAAACTGTATTGAAATAAGTATAAGTTACAAAATATGTTTTAGTAACATCGGTGGTTTTTGGTGGATCTTTTGAAGTATTTTTATTGTCTTGCATCATATCCAGTGCTATATAGGATGTCATTACAGGACTATCTCTTAGAGGAATACTTTCGGTTATGACCACTTGCGTTACCACTTCTCGAGTACTTATAACGCTTTCATGGCCATCTTCGTAGAGAGTTTTTTCCAAATTAATGGTACTGAAGTAGGTGTTGGTATCCTTGACGGCAGCCTTAGCAATGGAAGGTTGCGGTGAAGTCGCCAAGTGATCATCAAGAGCCGTTACAGTGTTGGCGACAACATGTTTGGAGGAGATTACCAATGGTTGCTCACCATCTAATATGGTGTTCAGGTAAGTGTAGGTGGTGTGGAAGACTCTAACTGATAGAGCAGGGTACTGAAAAAAAATATATTGTACTTTGAATTTGATTGGTTGTTTAGGATGTATGTACAGGGTGCTGCAATTTGGAGAGTTCGAATAGAAAATACGTACTTCCAGATCAGATAGAGAAAAAATTACTTAGATGTCATAGGATCGATTTCCGATGATGTCATTTAGGACTGGATGTGGATCTCGAGTCGGGACCCTAGTTACAGCGTAAATTTAATGGTTCATAAATAGTGTTATTTGCTTTGCAAATAAATCAAGAGTTCAAAAACCCGGCGAGAGTTTACAAGAATTCGAATAGGAAGTTGAAAGGCTAGTGAGTTTGGCATTTCCTGCAGCTGGGGAAGACATGAAGGAATGGATGGCAGTATCTGCGTTTATTGATGGTCTCAGAGATTCCAAGATCCAGGAAAACCTGAGAATGTCTAAGTTCAGACAAAGTAGCGAAGCCCTTGTCCGAGCATTGGAACTGGAAGCAATCTTTGGTGCCTAACGACCCAGAACACGAGCAGTGTCCATTGAAGACCCAAAAGATAAACAATCATCAGAAGAGAAGAGGATGGTGGTTTCGAGAATGTTATAAGTAATTTCATGGAGGAAATAAAAGAACTATTACTAAAAGGCAGAAAAACGGGAAACGACTCCAGACAAACACCAACACTGAGAAACCGATTAGAATGTTACCGGTGCCATAAGCTTGGACATATTTAACGAGATTATAGAGTAGGAATGTCCTCTCCTTCTAGGGATCATTTCCAACGCTATTCGAGATCTAGAGACGCCAGTTCTAATAATAGACAGGAAAACGTGAACTAACCAGTATGGAGGGACGAATGCTGGTTAGTAATGACGAATCGGCACCAGTTCAAGGAGAAGCTATGGTTGAGCCTAATTTCGGATCTGCCACCTTCAGGCACAGAACATTAGTCGCCGATATATAAGAAGAAGATGATTTGATTTTGGGAATGGATTTGATCGGCCAACATCGTTTCTCTTTCGATCCTTCTATGAGCATCCTTAAATTTTGTAATGAAGATAAACCAGAAAAGTTTCTCGTTGGAAAGATTCTAGTAAGAACAAATGGAGACATTATGATAAGATAAGAATTGCCAATCTTTCTTCTGAAACAGTGAAAATAGAGGAAGGAGATATAATTGGAGTATTAATCAAGGCAAAATTGGCGATGCTGACCAAGTCAGTATTTTATTATACACTACTCAAGCTATAGGTACTTACGTAGATAATCTTTACGCACAAGTCATTGAAAGCATTAGTTGTTTAGTAGTGAACAAAGATAGAAAAGCAGCTCTAGCCACCAATTCCCCAGTAGCTCACCGTACTGGTTTAGTAAGGCTTATTGAAGGTAAAATAGTTCAAAACCAAACAACTACTTTATACGAATACAAAGTTTAGGTACTGTAATTGATGGCAGATATGCACAAATCATTGAAAGTACTTCAAGCTTTATTTTGCCTTCTATCAGTCCAAGTGCTGTTGCCAATGAAATAGTGCCAACTGCAACAAAAGTCCTTGGTGATGGGGCTGGGGCTAGTATTATAGCACCAACTCCAGTTGTTTTGGAAGGTTCCTTAACCGATTCAGCCGGTAGCGAAGAAACAAGTACTGAATCCAGTGATGAAGATAACGAAGAAGACAGAAATGGACGTAATAAATCTGGATTGAACTTCCAATCTAAAAAACGTACTCTCACTCCAGCAATAAGGTCATTTGTTTCCCGGCAACGACCTTCATTTGCTCTCAAACGTAATAAGGCAGGAGCTACTGCAGCAGCCACAATAACCAGATTATATTTCACTCCTACAGTTACTGCTATACCTGTATCAAAAGCCAACAGGCTTGGCGGTAGACGTAGTTCAAGCTCCAACCAAGTAACACAGCCAACAGCGTCTGGAAGTAGAAGATTTCCCGGCCTAAAGCTACGACTTCAAGTAGATGAAGCAGCATTGGCCAAGTTAATGCTACATCTAGTGTATTTAGATGAGCTGGAGCTTAGAGAAGTTCTTCATTGGGCAACAGCAATAACTGAAGGACTAGTTCGTTGTTTGGTGGAAATTCGAGATTTAGAATCAGACCTAAGGCTGCAGCAGGTCTGAGCCGCTCACCAAGCTCTAAAATTGTAACTGAAACCTGATGGAGAAAATGATTTGGCTACTAATATAACTGACGACCCTTCAACTGATAGTTCTGGTGAAGCCGGTGAGACCACATTGCCACTGCAAAGCACCACTTGAGACTTCACCAATCCTTTATTACGATTTAGAAGACCTCCAGTAAATAGAACTAGTCCTGCTGTTAGAACTACAGCTAAACCTAGAATTAACAATAAGGCTACCACAACAACTGCACGACCGAAAACAACTCCTGGAAGATCCAGTGCCTTATTGAACAGACAACGGGCAGGTGGATTATTCCCGAGAAGAAACCTATTTACAACCACCACAACGCCAGCTGCAGAAGAAGAGGAAGGGAATGAAGAAGACTTGGAAGAAGAAGCTGGTGAGAATGAAGACGACGACGACACTGATTATGAAAGCTCGTTGCAACATACCCAAACCGAAGAAGCTCCTACAACCCCAAGTCCCGCCAGACAAATGGAATCCAAATAAGGCAAAAGACGCTCAAAACGTCAAGCGACTTATTCGAGATTCAGACGAACTACTGGAAGATCCACTACGACTGCAGCTCCTATAGAGGAATATGAATATGTAGACCAGCCTACATCGGCTAGAACTTCATCTTTTCGAAATAGATATCAAACCAACAGATATAAAGCGCCAACCGCAAGTACAAGTGCCCCAACAACAAGAAAACGAATTTCGCCTACTAAGCCTCAAATAAGGACCCAGTTTACTTTGAGAGAAAAAGATAGGGCATCGAATAGTAGAGCTAGCAATAATTTTAAGCCTAGAAGTTCTAATGTTAGAAGGACTACTACAACAACTCTCGAACCAGTTAAGTAAATATCGAACTGTGACTTATCAGATAAGCGACATTTTAAAAAATTGAAATTAGATACAGACATCTTGATGCAGACATTGGCGAAATCATGGAAACATCTCGATCCAGATAGACTTCAAGAAGCTACAGATTTCATCTTGAAAGAAGCAGACGTATTTGTGATGGATAATCAAACCGGACGAACCCGTTTAATTCAACACAAAATTGATATTGGATTGGTACACCCAATGAGACAACCACCTCGACGTATTCCAGTAGCTGAACAGCAGGAAGTGGAAAACTCAACTGATAAAATGCTTCAAGAGGGAATTATTGAAGAGTCAAATAGTCCATGGTCTGCGCCAGTAGTATTGGTTACGAAGAAAGATGGAAGTTTTAGACTTTGTGTGGACTACCGAAAACTTAATGACGTCACCAAGAAGGATAGCTTCCCTCTCCCGATAATAGACGATACACTAACAACTCTATCGGGCTCCAAATAGTTTTCCACCTTGGATTTTGAAAGCGGATACTGGCAAGTGGCAATACACAAAGATGACTGAGAAAAAACTGCCCTCAGTACCCGAAGAGGGTTTACTAGTTTTACGGGATGCCTTTCGGATTGTGAAATGCTCCAGCTACGTTTAGAGCGACTAATGCATCTAGTTTTGCGAGGCCTTACATGGAGAACTTGCCTGGTATATTTAGATAATGTCATGATCATGGAAAATTCTTTCTAAGAATATCTCAATAACCTGAAAGAAGTTTTTGACCGCTTCCGGAATGCCAACTTGAAACTCAACCCAAATAAGTGTTTTCTATTTCAAAAGAAAGTGAAGTTCTTAGGTCACGTGGTATCTGAAAATGGCATACAAGTTATGGAAAGAAAAATAAATGCTGTCAGAGATTGGCCAAAACCACGCGACAAACCTGAACTAAGGAGTTTTCTAGGATTATGTTCTTATTATCGAAGATTTGTGGAAGGATTCGTCAATATAGCTGCTACACGCTTCATCGATTAACGAAAAATCAACATTCAATTGGACCCGAGAATGAGATTCCGCATTTGAAAAATTAAAAAAGGAGCATTATGTACAAGCCCAGTGTTGTCCTATCCCGATTAGAAAGGCATGAGGTAGCTGAGGTAGCCAACATTATAAGAGAATTGAAAAATAAATGCTCACCAGGTGAGCATTTATCACAAAAAAGGACTTGTTACAAGTTCAAGACCTACTGGAAGAAAGGATTGTTAAACTCATCAATAATATATTAGAGACTGGCACGTTTCCAACAGAGTTCAAGAATGCCAAAATAACTCCTATATATAAAAAAAGGGTCACATAAAAATACAACAAACTATCGGGCTCCAAATGGTTTTCCACCTTGGATCTTAAGAGCAGATTCTGGCAAGTGGCATTACACAAAGATGACAAAGAGAAAACTGCCTTCAGTACCCGCAGCGGGTTTACTAGTTTAACGTAATGCCTTCCGGATTGTGTAATGCTTCAGCTACGTTTGAGCGACTAATGCATCTAGTGTTGCGAGGCGTTACATGGAGAACTGGCCTGGTATATTTAGATGATGTCATGATCATGGGAAATTTGTTCCAAGAACATCTTAATATCTGTATTGTATCTATTCTCCAAAATTGCAGAAAAAATAATAAAAACACGAATAATTAACTTCATAAATAATACATCTGGTATGGACAAATATCAATATGGTTCCCAGAAACAGAGCAGCACCCTGGAAGCGACGGCTGATCTGCTTGAATATGTATCCTCTGAAATTGGCAAAAACAATTAAATGCTCACTATATTTGTACATCTCCAAAAAGCCTTCGACACAGTTGATGTAGATATTCTTCTAGAAAAACTGGGAAGAATGGGCTTCAGGGGTGTTGGATATACACTAATAAGATCATATTCTAAGTATCGGACACATTACACTGAAATTAACAAGATCAAGAGCAATAAAGCTGAATTGAAGGTCGGAATTGCCCAGGGTTCTGTACTTGGCCCACTGCAATATTTATTATATGTCAAAAATTTAAAGTGCGCGGATCTGAAAGCCAAGTACCACATGTTTGCAGACGATACAGCTCTAGTTTTAACTGCAGATAATCCCAAGGAACTCGAAAATCTAGCAAACCAATATTTGAACCTATATTTTAGGTGGTTGTGTATTGGTCCGATGGTTATAACAAAAATCCTTCCAAACGATAGATATAGAGTGAAGGATATGCCGAATTTGGGACGTAGTGCTACCAGAAAGTACGATAATGTCATTGCAGTTGATCGCCTTAAGCCCTGGATACCTCCTGGAGGTGTTTCGGTTGATACTTTGAGTGATTCTGATGGAGATGGCGACCTACCGCTTTCAGATTCATCTGAAAGTTGAGTTGCGAGGACGCAACTTCTGTAAGGATGGGCCGAAGGTAAAATAATATCCAATTAGCTTTTAATTATTTAATGTATTATTATCCTTTGTTGTGCCTAATTCCATGAATATTCCCCCAATCCATAATAAGTAAGAGAGACACTCTGTATGATAACTTGCCAGTAGATAGTCAAAGCGGGTTCTAGCATCAAATTCCGACCATAACCTCAATATTGCATTCTTGACACGAAGGTGGATGCGTCAGCGCCATCTTGTCATCTGTCAAACGTCATGGCGCCATCTGTCGAGAGTGCGGTGAATTTTTGCAATTGATCGACAAGGGTTCGAAATTTCAGATCAAAAACGCCGCCGATCTAGAGATTTTCCCACGTTAGCGGAAAATTTCTCAGGCTCTGGTGCCCCCGTTACTACTAACCTGTCTCGAAAAGCTGCCTGTGTAGACAGACACCTATCTCGAAAAGCTATCTTTATAGACAGACCTGTCCCATAAAAAAGCTGTCTGTGTAGACAGACCTGTCTCGAAAAGCTGTTTCGGACCTGTCTCTGGATCTGTATAGCTATCTATACACTTAATTGTCTCTGGACCTGTATATTTAGAGCGACTCTATGGTGAGTACTTTTTTAAAATTTATTTGGCAAACAGAGCAGTAATCGTATTTATGTTTGTTTAATGGAATATTGGCTAGAAATAATTGGCTTGCAGAATGAATTGCTTTGTGAAGACCCACAGAAAGGGATCAGTAAGTTATTTAATTAGCGAATTTTACACATCTAAGTCAATTTTTCTCTATCTGGTCTGTAATTATATTTTTCCTGTTATAAAACACTCCAAATTGCAGCACCCTGTACAGGCTCAACAAAAATTATCACCCGACAAAATACTTCAGATACCTAGGTCTAAGAAAGGAAACTTTTCAACGAAATTTCGCTTGCAGGGTAGGGCCATCTTGAAATTAAATTAGGGGTGAATTACGTGAGAACTGCAGGAGGTATTTCGCTTATAAAATAACACTCCCGGCCGGATCGAAGATCCTGCTGACCTGACTGAGGATAATTTGCTTGGTATAAGTTTAATCAAGAAAATACATCAGAACCTGTAACATCTCCATAATATTTGACTTGCAAATTCTCACCTGTGTCAATGTAATTCCCATAGCAGGAGTGGGTAAAATTTTTCCAGTATTTATTCGCTCTTCTGTAGCCACATTGGAAACCACTTGTTCATGACTGGATACCGTCGTGAGACCCTTTTCCAAATACGTAGTCAAATATGTAAACGTAGTCAAGCAAGTTTTAACTACAAACTGGTTGGGATCCAAAGGTGTTGAAGGATCAACCTAGAATGTTGAGCTTAGACATAACCTCCAAAAAAAAAAACATGATTTTACTTACAGTTTCCTCTTGCGGCAACATAAGTAACATGTGATCGGACAAAGTACTTGGTTTTAAGGTTACAGCTTTTTGAATACTTGGCACTGCCTTTCTAAAGTCCTTATCACCCGGATATGTTGTTTTGTCTCCTGCCACAATGACCTCGACCCCATTGGACATAACTCTTGTAGCTAAATTTCTTGGTTCTTCTCTAACATCTGGATTATCTAACGTATATTATAACTTTATTTGTTGAAAGTTTTAAGATTTTTATATACAATAATTTACATAATAATGAATTTAATGATATAATACAATATGACAATGAGACTACAAAAAAAAACTATATATAATACAAAAGACATAGAAATAAACTCACCTTCCAAGTTAGAATTCGACAGAGAAGAAGGATTATAATCCAAAGTTGGAATAAAGGTCGGCTGTACATCAGTCTTGTCCATATTGTCCAAATCGAGTAACGTTAAAGTCGAGTAAAGTGTTGCACTTTCAACAACCGTCGTTGTTTTGATCTGAGGCTTAACCTCCGTAGTAGAAGTTATAATTTCTTCATTACCAGCCACTCTGGTTACTACATAAGTGTACGTACGTAAACGAGTAGTGGTGATTACTTTGGTTTCAAGTTCTATATTTGAAACTATGGTGGTTTTCAGAAGGAGTACTGGAACATCTGTTGACTCGGACAGTTCAGGGAAGAAAGGTTCATAATCAGGTAAGGAAGTAGGAGTAGGAATTGTTTCATTGTTTATGTTTGACTCTTCTTTACCTGCATCAGTCATTTCAGTTGTATTTGCTTCCGTTTCATCTTCCTCTCCATATTCATCATATTCATTTTCGTCTTCCTCTTCAAAATCATCATCGTATTCTTCATCATCATCATCAAACTCATCTTCATCATAAAGCTCTTCATCATCATCATCATTATCTATTGATTCGGTAGATTCTTCATCTTCAATCAAATTCTCCTCAGTCCTGTCTTCATTTTCATTATCTACTGGTGCAAATAAATTTAAATTTAATTTTTTTCCTGATCTGCTTTTATCAACATTTTCTCGAAAGTGTTTAGCAATTTCACTTTTCTCAATTTGAATGTCGTAATAGCTATGCTCCACTAACATCTTACTGCTATCAGCTTTTTCAGTTGTTGCTGTAGCTTCTATAGGTTCGCTTGTGTCAGTTTTACTTTTATTTGGCAAGATTCGTTTTCTAGTGATTACGATTTTTCTTCTGGGTTTCGTAGCTTCCTGGCCGTGAGCTTCTAACCCATTTAAATAGTTTGTATTTATTGTTTCTTGTATTATTGGTGGAGTTAAAAGACGTTTCTTCTTTTTAATTTTAATTTTCCTACGTCTTTTTCTTGTACTATTATTATCAGTTACATTTGATGATGCCTTCACAGGTTGTCTACGTATAAGCTTTTTAATAACTCTACGTCTTTTTTGTATACTATCACTACCATTATCACTTACACTATCTAAGTCTCTTCTATTTCTAAATAAATTATCTACACTTAAAACACTAATATTTACAAAAGGGTTATTAATTTTGCCAATGCATTTCGAAACGTTAAAAATTTTGTTTGTTTTAATTTTGATCTCGTTTTTCTCACCGAAAAGGCCCCTAGGTTCTAGTGTAGACGTTTCGACCTTGGCATTCTCAGGGGCAAGATTACTGCTAAGGTCACTTAGACTAAAAAATCATCGTTGGATTTGACTTTTTTATACAGTTTGGCATCGGAAGCCTTTACGTATTTAATGGTATATTTTTTGGTAGCCTTAGTAGCTTCTTCAATGGGAGTTTTTGTGTTTAAGTACTTAGGAACATCACCAATGATACTCTCAAGGCTTTCAGTCTCTTGTGTCGAAGCTTCTTCGTTAATATCTTTAGTAGCTGGCTGTACATATTGATCCGTATTAATGATAAAATCTTCAAAAGTCTTTGAAGGCTGCACAGGAATATACTCTACATCCCTCTTCCTTCGTTCATTTTCTCCTAAAGTTACTGTAGACAATAATGTAGTAAAATCTCCAGGAGTTCTGCCAGAAACATACAAAGTAATCACACTAGTTTCTTTGGGTGGTTCCACCTTAGCAATTTTCTTTTTATTCTTTTTCGAAGACTTCCTTTTAGGAGCTACAGTAGTAGTTTCTTCACTAGAAATTGCCTCATCGTCTAAAGCTAAATTGTATTCATCACTGAACAATTGTTCTTGAGACTCTACATTAGCAGGAGTTTGAGGCTGCAAATTTTGACCTAACAATCCTTGTGACTGTAGTAGTTGATTCGCTTGCTGTTGTTGCTGTAGCTGTTGTTGCAATAAAGGCAATAATAGAGTGTTGAATTGAGGTGCTTGTCCATAAGCTGGTATTGTAGGTGTAATTACGAGGGTATCTGTTAAAAATTCTGTAGCTGTTACCACTTCAGTGCTAACTTCACTGATAGTAGTCAAAATTTCTTTGCCTCTAAACGTCAAAGGTATTACGGTTTGTAGAGTATTGGTAACAGTAGTCACATATGAGGTGGTGCGTATCTTGAATTCTGTAGTTGGTGTAGCAGGCGCTCCAGGGTTTTGTTGTAAAGCTAATAAAGGATTTGTAGGCACTCCACCTCCTAATAATAGCTGAGATAAAAGTATGTTAGCTAAAGGAGCTTGTGCAGCTAAAGCTGGTTGTATTGTGTTCACAACTTCCTCTACTTGGTATACAGTACTGGGTACTACGTGGGAAAATGATGTTTTGCGGCCTCTAATTGTTGTAGGAGTGAATACTACTGCTGTTGTAGGAGATTCGTTGATTAAAAATTGTGTTACCAAAGTAGCCCCATTATTATTGACTGAAGTATTTTCTGTTAGCAGTACTTTAACTTCTTTGCCAAAATTGTTTATCGTAGAAGAATATTGATTGGGATTCAATACTTCAGTACTGAGCTTTGCTGTCACAATATTCTTATATTCAGTCATTTTTCCATTAACCACAGGTATAGTTGCTTCAGTTGGTATTTGATACGTCACTGTAATGGTACCATCAAATTTAGGAGAAATATAATTATCATCTAAATTTTGATCGTAGGTTCTTCTACTTGAAGTTCTGCCTCTGGATCTAGCATTGGTTGCTCTAGAACTAGCTGTAGGTCTCCTCGCAGAGCTTTCAGTTAAATACCCACTTCTTCTATTATTTATTCTTGGAGTTGTTGTAGTAGTCCTTCGTACATTAGAACTTCTAGGCTTAAAATTATTGCTAGCTCTACTATTCGATGCGCTATCTTTTTCTCTCAAAGTAAACTGGGTTCTTATTTGAGGCTTTGTAGGCGAAATTCGTTTTCTTGTTGTTGGGGCACTTGTACTTGCGGTTGGCGCTCTATATCTGTTGCTTTGATATCTATTTCGGAAAGGTGAAGTTCTAGCCGATGTAGGCTGGTCTACATATTCATATTCCTCTATAGGAGCTGCAGTCGTAGTGGATCTTCCAGTAGGTCGTCTAAATCTCGAATAAGTCGCTTGACGTTTTGAACGTCTTTTGAACGGCCTTATTTGGATTCCATTTATTTGTCTGGCGGGACTTGGAGTTGTAGGAGCTGCTTCGGTTTGGGTATGTTGCAACGAGCTTTCATAATCAGTGTCCTCGTCGTCTTCATTCTCACCAGCTTCTTCTTCTAAGTCTTCTTCGTTCTCTTCCTCTTCTTCTGGAGCTTGCGTTGTGGTGGTTGTGAATAAGTTTCTTCTTGGGAATAATCCACCTGCCCGTTGTCTGTTCAATAAAGCACTGGGTCTTCCAGGAGTTGTTTTCGGTTTTGCAGTTGTTGTAGTAGCTTTATTGTTAGTCCTAGGTTTAGCTGTAGTTCTAGCAGCAGGACTAGTTCTATTTACTGGAGGTCTTCTAAATCTCAATAAAGGATTGGTGCGTCTAGAAGTTTCAGTGGTGCTTTGCAGTGGCAATGTAGTCTCACCGGCTTCACCAGAACTATCAGTTGAAGGGTCGTCAGTTATATTAGTAGCCGCCAAATCGTTTTCACCATCAGGTGGGGTTTCAGTTACAATTTTAGAGCTTGGTGAGCGGCTTAGGCCTGCTGCAGCCGTAGGTCTGATTCTAAATCTGGAATTTCCACCAAACAATGAACTAGACCTTAAGTTATTGTTGTTGCCCAATGAAGAACTTCTCGAAGCTCCAGCTCGTCTAAAACCACTAGATGTAGCCTTAACTTGGCCAATGCTGCTTCGTCTACTTGAAGTCGTAGCTTTAGGCCTGGAGAATCGTCTACTTCCAGACGCTGTAGGCTGTATTACTTGGTTGGAGCTTGAACTACGTCTACCGCCAAACCTGTTGGCTTTTGATGCAGGTATCGCAGTAACTGTAGGAGTGAAATCTAATCTGGTTATTGTGGCTGCTGCAGTAGCTCCTGGCTTATTACGTTTAGGAGCAAATGTAGGTCGTTGCCTGGAAACAAATGGCCTAATTGCTGGAGTGAAAGTGCGTTTTTTAGATTGGAAGTTTAATCCAGATTTATTACGTCCATTTTCGTCTTCTTCGTTGTCTTCATCACTGGATTCAGTACTAGTTTCTTCGCTACCGGCTGAATCGGTTAAGGAACCTTCCAAAACAACTGGAGTTGGTGCTATAATACTAGCCCCAGCACCATCACCAAGGGCTTTTGTTGCAGTTGGTACTATTTCATTACCGACAGCACTTGGACTAATAGAAGGCAAAATAAAGCTTGAAGTACTTTCAATTATTTGGGCGTATCTGCCATCGATTACAGTACCTAGAACTTTGGATTCGTACAAAGTAGTTGTTTGGTTTTGAACTATTTTGCCTTCAATAAGCCTTACTAAACCAGTACGGTGAGCTACTGGGGAATTGGTGGCTAGAGCTGCCTTTCTTTCTTTGTCCACTACCAAAGAACTAGTGCTTTCAATTACTTGTGCGTAAAGATTGTCTACGTAAGTACCTATAGCTTGAGTTGTGTATAATAAGGTACTGACTTGGTCAGCATCGACAATTTTGCCTTGATTAATACTAACAACTCCGGTTGGTTTTAGCTTTGCCGCTTCCACTGATGAAGGGGTAATGTTTTTGGTGAGTATTGAAGAAGTACTTTCATGTACTTGAGCATATAGGCCATCGATGTAAGTACCGTAAACATCGGTTGAGAATAACGTTGCTGTGCCATTGTTCTCAAGTGTTCTAACCATTGTTGACAATAAGCCTGTAGGTTTGATACCGTCTGCGTTCTTTACGTCAGTCGAATTCATTGGGGCGCTGTTATTGAGGACATTTGTTACAGTTTCAAGTCTACTATTCAAGACAGTTTCATCGCCAACATATGAAGTTGTATAGTAAGTGTACGTAGTGTAGTAGGTTGTTAATTCATCTTCACCAACTGTAGATGGCACAACAGTTTGATCAATGCTTCTTTCCATACTGGCTGTTGGAGTGATTAAATTGGCTGTAGGTGTTATTAATGGTATAACAGCTTCTGGAGCATCTGTAGGCTTGAGATCTGGCGTGACAACGTTAGAGATTGTTTCTTCTCTGCTGGTTACTTTAGTTTTTCCATCTTTGTATAAGGTAGTCCAATATGTGAATGTAGTGAAATATGTTACTGGTAGGTTTAAATCTTCTGTGCTCAATCCTTGTGAGGGATTTAATGTAGCTGTAACAACGTTAGTGACAGTTTCAAGTCGACTAACGATATCACTAGCTGTAGTTCCATGGTACATTGTAGTATAATAGGTGAAAGTGGTGTAAGAAGTTTGCAGAAGCAACGTTGGTGGTGATGGTACTATTTCACTTTCATTGTTGCTTTCGCTAACAATTTGATCGTCGAGTAAAATGTTGCGTTTATCTAAACTGTCAATGATTCGTTCTTCGCCTTTAGAGGTACTGCTGCGCACATCTGTCACCATGGTGGAAATGGTTTCATAGTCACTAAGATCCAATATGGCATTATCAGTTTCTTTTTTACGGTTTAAAGTTACATAACCATCTTTGTTGTGGATTTTTGATGGGATTAGGTCGTTATCTTCATCATCTTTGCCAGGTTTATCGATACTGTTATGGTTGTTACCAAATTTGATATTTCTCAAGCGGTTTTGCAAAATTAGTTCTTCTTCTGGGGTATTGATTGCAACTGGAAGTTTTGTTTGTAATATATCTGAGGCATCAGTTACTGCAGTGGGTGTGACGTAGTTAGTATAAACTTCGGTTCTGCTTGAAATTTCGGTCTCACCATCAACGAAAATTGTGGTGAAATATGTGTAAGTTGTGTAGAAAGTCTTAATGCCATTAGCTGTATGTTTATCATCCAAACCTGGGGTTGCTACTTCTTGATTTTCACTATCTTCATTTTTCAAAGATGGGGTTGTTGTTTGTTGAATGTCAGCTAAATCCTCAAATGATACTGTTCTTGAAGGTACAATGTTTTCTTCGTCGTCAAATAGACCCTCAACAGCAGGATCTGTAGCATCGCTACCAGGATCCAATGTGGATGTAATTACATTTGTAGTGACTACAATTCGGCTAGCAACAGAGCTAGTGGAGTCTTGGAAATAGGTTGTCAAGTAGGTGTATGTAGTGTAAAGGGTTTTGAATAGTAGTTCTACTTCATCGCCTTCTTCAGTTGTAGCTTCAGTAGTTTCTGGCTCGGACTCGGTAACGTGACGAGTTTCAGTGGTGATTTCTTGAGGCAAAGTTGTATCTTGACTAGTGGTTGTTTCTTCTTCATCAGTTTTGTTTTCTAATGTGGTTGTCAGAGTTTCTTCTTTGTCAGTTGTGGTTATTTGCTCTGTAGTGGTTGGCAAAGGCTCTGTTGCAGGGGCTATACTAGGTTCTGTAGTGGTTTCAACTACATTACTAGCTTTTATGTCGCATGCAATAGTTTGTAATGATTTTTGGCTTGAGACAACTACGTTAGATTTTACGGAAGTACTAGTAGATTCTTCCAAAGGAATATAGAAAGTTGTTAGGTAAGTTAAAGTTTTGTAAGCGATTGTAGGTACGATTTTGTGGCCTTCAGTGCATTCTGGTTCGATATTTTCATTGTCGGTAGAAGGTTTTTCAGTATCGATTTCATTTTGAGCTACTGGCGGTGTAGTTGGGGCATCAGTTGTAGTTGTAAGAATTTCTTCAGTGGTGGTTTCTTCTTGTTCCGGAGTAGTTGTTTCTGGTTTAGGTGTCGTTGTCAATATTGGTTGCTCTTCTGTTGTAATTTCTAAAACAGCTTTAGATGGTGTAGTGTCAACTTTCAAAGTAGGTTCAAATGAAAAATCATCATCTTCAAAGAAAATGGTTGTGGCACCTCCAGTTGTTTTGACAGCTTGTGTAGTAATTTCTTCTTTAGGTTCATCTTCGAAGAAAACTGTAGCAGGTTTTTTGGCGCTTTCCAAAGGTTGAGTAGCGATGGCTTGGGCTTGTAGTGAAGCTAAAATTTTAGCTATATCTTCATCACTTGGTGTTGAGAGCATTACTGGCTGAATTTCAGAAGGTTGAATTACATCTGGGGTAAACAACAGAGTTTGTTTGTCTGGCTTTTGCTCTTTGGCAAGTACTGCAAATTTAGCTGCAAGATCAACTGGAATGTCTGGAGTTTGTTTTTTGCCATCTCTGTCTTCTTTGCTAATAACCATTGTATTAGGGCCTGATGTATTGAATAATTCTTCTAAATCTTCATTAAGAGGTGTTGTGGTAGGAATTTCTTCTGTAGTTATAAATGTTGGGTATTGTCTATCTGTTGTTGGTTTTTCTTGTTTAGTGGCTAAAGGTATATTTTGGACTACAGTAGGTTTTATAGTAGGTTCGACAGCAATTTTAGTTATTTGAGCTGCGTTCATAGCTATTTCAGCTGCTGTATGTGGAGTAAAAACAATTACAGTGTTAGCTACTGTGGTTCTAAAGTCAGCAAAACCAGTATAAGTAACTGTTTCTAAGTCTTTAGGGTTGGGTTTAATGAGGCCAGCTTTAAACAGAAGTCTGGCTTTACGATCTGCTTGGGTTGTTGACTTGGACCTTTCAGTTCTTGAGTCGAAATCGTCACCAAAATATGAGAATCCTGATGGAGAAAATTCATTTCTTACTGTAAATGTTGGTAAATTATCCCATTCTTTTACTTTTGATGGTTTGAAATTCAGTTCTGCAGGATTATCGTTGTGGATGATTAGATTTTCGTGCGTGAAGTCTTTTTGGGCATTGACTTTAACTACTTTTTTATCCAAAGAGAGTCTATTGTTCGATTGGGCTTCATTAAGGATTTCAAAATTATTTTGAGGTAAGGACGAAGGTGCGGATGTAGCAAAATAATCTACAGTAGCTGTAGGGAATACTTGGAAAGCTTGAGGATTGTCAGTGTTTCTAATGAAATTTTTATTTACAATCAAATTTTCGTCCAAGTTCCATTGTTTTTTACTCGACGGGTCGTAAGATTTAGTTTGCGAGTCGTGATCATACACCACCCGACTAGTCTTTGTGAGTAAGTGAGCGTACAGTCGTCCATTATCGAGTGTCGTACCGACCACTTGAGTGGCGTATTCAGTGGTCACGCCATCTTGTATAAATGTACGCGCAGTCGATGTTATAAGTCCTAAGTCAGGTTTAACGCTTAAATATCTCCCAAGGGAATTTTTTCCATGGTTGTCCACTAGGAGAACGGTGGTGATATCTACGAGAATAGAGGAAAGATAGATTTTAGATTATGGTACAAAAGTAGTTATTATACATAAAAGTAACTTTATTTACAAATAATTAGGACGCAATACTAAAAACAAAACATGTATGGCTGAATATTGGAAACATGCTATCCAGGGGGCAGTTCAGATTCAAGTTAGCTAGGAGTCTTATGGGGGTCGGTCTAATCGCCCATTGGTATACTTCATTCAATCAAAGTTCATTCTTCTCAATGCTGCTAGGGTGTGAGAATTAGGCGCCTGAACCCCTGATCTCCGATATTTGGCACTACAATTAAATCTTTTTTTATACATATTTTAGCACATCTCTCTCGAAATATAACAAACTATTATTATTTATGTGATATTATACAGGGTGTTCCATTCAAAAAAAGTATCATTGTTCTGAAATTTCTTTATGGAACACCTTTTATACCTACTCGAAACCAACATTCTGGCGCTTGTTAATAACACCTAGAAATGTCAAACCGAAACCATGTAGGTCAAAAACATCAAAAGTTACCTATTGGTCAAAATGTGGTTAATCACCCTGTACATATTTTAGTTTAGTAATTATTATTAAAATAGATTTTTCCTGGTACCCAACCTGCATTACAACATAGTTAGTAATACTTAATTATAGAAAACACTGGCAAAAGACTTTTTTACCCTTGACATTTGCCTATACCCAATGAAATCACTATTGCCTTAAAATTTAAAAATACCTAAGTATTTACATTTTTTGCTTAACTTATTGTTAGTTGAATTTTTACAAATTCATTTCTATTTACAATAATTATTTAAGTCTTATGATAATAACAAGTTAAAGCACTTACCTTTATCATTTTCTCTTCTTTTTCTGGGCGACGTGTTTATATAATCTAGACCTGAAAATGCAATAAAAAAGTATGTTAGAAATTCCGTGGGAAAAACTTGGTTCTATTATTATCAACCAAACCAGGTAAACACGAGTTTTGCATGTGATATCGTGTGTGCTAAATAGATACAATTAATTGCTCGCTTTCTAGATTCGTTGCTAATTTTATGTAATGCCTCTGCCCGAAAATGAAATTTCGAAGTCCCAAGAAGAGAACGGCAATAATAAAAAGACTATAATAATATTAAAGAAACAGGTTGCCCAGATGGAATGTGTGTTACTGGGTGTAAGTTCACGAAGCTTAGGCGTGGCCTTTACTTTCATAATCGTTAAGAATGCCTGAGGCCACTTTGCACGGATTCGTTTTTTTGTAAGTTAAAGGTGTGTGGATCTGCTTTCGATATTTCTTGTGGTAACAAGGAATATCTAAATATTACGCTCGAAAGAACATACGTTTCCACATATTTTGTAACAGTCATTATCGAATCGGAAGAGACATCATGCATCTGCAACCCACTCTTGAAGACAAGTCATTTCCTGCAATTTTCAATGGTAATTCGTCTTGGAATTGAATGCACTTTCCCTCTCTGTTGTACTCTATTATTACGCCCGATACTTTGTGACTGGGAGAATTCAAAATTAATCAGTTTCAGACCTATTATTAGATCAAAGACAAAAACTCAAAGGGAAATTTGTTGAGTGCCTGCTTGACCCCCATTGAAGATGCGTGAAGTATTTCGGAGCTCACTGGAAAAAGCCAATTTATGTAACCCCTTTTGTTAATGAATTAACCAGAGGCCCATAATAGGCTCGGTTTGCTCAGCGAATATTTATTAGGGGTGGGTTGATAGTTTTTAATAAATACAGTATGGCAAGGGTAGAAAAGGGACTTTTCAATTTTCTCTCTCCAGAATAAATAGAAATCACTTGACAGTCTTCCACCAATTTTTGAGTTTGTTGCTGAATCCTGAATATCTTCAAACATTGTGGTTTGATATGTCGCATTATATTTCTGTGAATGAGCTATGATGACTTCTGAGATGCGATTAAATAGTTAAGTGGCCAAGTTAACAAGTGATGAAGAAGATGACAACGAAATCCCATCGAAAACCCAAAACAGTGATGTAATGGTTATGTAACGTTAATTGAAGTGAGATGGACAAATGCAGATCTTGCTGCAGGAAAACATCGACATTACCAATTCACTTCTCAAATGGAGCAATAGTAATAATTGTAACTGAGAAACTCTAGTGTAATGTGAAGAAATCTACTTGGACTCCTATGATGGATCGATAACATATAAGTTCAAGCTACTCTTATTAATGTAGAAGTCAGTATCAAAAGGCTGCCCACAGGGTGGAGTCCTATCCTCTTTACTGTGGCACCTGGTAGTAGATGAACTTCTAGTAGAACTTATCAACAGAAACATTCACACTCATCAGAGTTACTCAAATGATGTACTATCCATAATCATGGGGAAAAAGTTACAAACTACTTCTGCGCTGTTGTGAGTATAGTTCTTGAATACTGAAATTTAGTATAGAATATGAGTAATGCTTTTCTTATAGAAATCGCGCAAGTTGTAATGTATCGTTAGGAATAAGTTTTGATGTTGAATGCATGATCCACGCATCAGTCCCCCAGCATCAAATAACAACAGGTTACGGGCCCAGATTTCAACAACTGGAATTATGAGGTAAGCAGTATAATGTCCATCAAAAATCATTTCAATGTTGAGTTGCTAAATGGGCGGAATTATCACACATGAAAGTTCCGTATGAGTATTTGGTTTGAGGACAAAGATGTTTTAGACTGTAGTGACAAAGAATTTAATGAATCAGATTATTAAGAAAGATAATAAATGTAAGTTTACTAAGTCGGATATTTATCCATTTGAATGTGACATTTGCAATGCTAAATTTAAAGATAAATATAATTTGAGAAGGCACATTTCAACACACTCGGATTTTTATCCTTTTGAATGTGACACATGCAAATCAATATTTAAACGAAAAGGCGAATTGAAGTATTCCAGGCCAGTTGATTCTTAGAGAGAAATTAATGTCGATGAGGCTTCAGGATAGTAGTAAACTGAAAGAATTTTTGGCTGAATATGATGAAGTTATAAGACAGTTAAATACTACAGGGGCAGATCTGAAAGAACAGGATATAGTTTATATTTTGTTTTTCTCTACGGGCATGATCGAGACTTTGTCTCACCTGTCTTCCCCTGTTCTCTGCGCCAGAGAAAAAGAAGAGCTCTCCCCTCAGTTTTCACGACAGAAGTGTGGTGACTTGCTTACTCTGCACCTATTAGACTAACAATAATTTGCGTGGGTCCCCTACCTATCCGGATTACTTTAGGCGGCCAGTTGACGAGCCCCCAGGGTGCGAAAATGTTCGAAACAGTCATAACTATATTAGAAAGTGTATTACTACAAGATTTAACAATGAGTTTGGCCAAAGCTGAAAGAAAAAAAGCATTATACGAAGCTAATAGTAGCGATGACAGACAAGACAATGTAACTCCATGAGCTTTTTCAACTCATCAATCATGAATATGTTATTCCTGTGGTCAAAGGGGTCATTATAAGAAAGACTGTAGAAATCAAAGACCTGTATATAATCATAATCTATTCAGAGAACACAAAGATTTAAGTGGAGGTGGTGAACAAGGTGGTTTTGACAGAGGTCAAGGTAGCAATCGAGAATTTGGAAGTTTTAAAAGAAATTTTCGAGGAAATGGTAATGAATATCAATACAGAAACAATGATAGAAGTGCAAACTATATGGTGAATACAGAGAAAGCAGGAAAGAGTGAGTTTTGGAATTAGGTTTAGAAAACTGCAAAAATATAAGTAAACAAAATTTATTATTTTATATTGACTCGGGATGTAGGTACTGATCACTTAATGATAAAGTAGTTATTTATATTACTAGTACGGTATGAGCTTCATTATAGTAACGAGTAGGGAATATAGCCACGACGAGGTCGTAGACCGAGTCGTGGGAACCACACCAATGTTGTAATGAGCCCCACCGTACGTGTGATATACAACATTTTATCTACGATCTGCACAATAAGTGACTATTTGTTTGTCTATTATAAAATAACTATTGTTCACTCGATTGTGTAGTTATATTAAAAATAATGACCTCTTACCGCACTAGTGCGATAATGAACGTGTTATGATTCATTACCGCACTAGTGCGGCAACAAGGCTAATAACACTTATTGTGCAGGTCATAGATAACAGTTATTTACATTACAGTTGCGCTTATGGCTGAGCTAGAAATAATTGTTCTAAATGATGAACAAATGAGACACGACTGAATTATTGGTAAATTTACCTCACTTTATAAGTATGATAAAGATTTTGTACTAAGAAAATTAGATCACATGAAAATCCCAAAAGAGTTGATATGTCTCAGAATATGCGAAGCTGAATACACTGACCAAAATGTAGGAGTTTAAACGTGAAATTTTACCGGAGCTGTGTAAGGAAAATTGTTTGAAATTAGTACTAAATTTTCGCGATAGGATTGCTTTATCAATGGCAAGATAAATACCCATTACCTCTGATCGATGAGCAGATTGATAAGTTAGCGGGACAGAACTATTTTACAGCTCTAGATATGGCCTCAGGATTTTATCAGGTGCCAATGGACGAAAATTCTATTGCAAAGACTGCTTTTGTGATTCCGGGCACCCACTATGAGTTTTTGCGCATGCCGTTTGGTTTAACCAACTCCCCTGCCGTATTTCAACGTTTGATGAATAATGTTTTGAGAAAACTTACAATTCAGATCTAGAAAATCCAGACTCCTTTTAACCATACTTGATCCTAACTTGTCAACAGAACTACATACAGATGCATGCTCATTAGGATTTGGGGCTATATTGATCCAAGTTGAGAACAGTGAGACTCACCCAGTTGCTTATTACAGCAAACAAACGACAATAGACCAAAAACAATATCATTCCTATGAACTTGAAACGTTGGCTGTCGTACTGGCGTGTTCTGTGGTACTAGCTTTAGCACATTTTCGAACTTATTTACTCGGATTGCAGTTTGGTCACTGACTGTAACGTACAATCTTTTTCAAAGAAAGATTTGATACCAAGATGGTGCCAGATGTCCAAGAGTAAACCTTTGAAATGTTTCAATAAACTAGGTATACAAGGGTTGAAGCCTTGTTATGTTTTCGTAGGTGTAGCTCTGAAGTAAAAATGAATGATTCGAAAATTGTTGTTTGCTTGATTTATAGTAAAGTTGGAGCTTTATGATTTTGGAGCTCCAATGAAGAAATAAGTGATTGGAAATTGTAGTTTCCACGGAGAATGGTAAGTTTGGAACTTTATTATGTTCTATTTAGGAGTTGCAGAGTTGCAGCTTCAGTGGGAAAATACCATAGAAGGTAGAGTAGTGAGGGAATCTACTCTCTAGACTTAGAGGCAACCACCATTATTTTGACAGCAAAGTGATAAAATTTGTTTTTGTTTTTCTCAGAAAATGATCTCACTCAAATCCCGAATTAATACATAAATTACGATATCCTTTAGCATATTATGTGATTTTTCGTGGGAGACATGCAACAAAACCCATACTAATCGTGTAGTGAAAGTCACCATATCTATATTAAAACAAACATTTCAGGTACCATGCACTTACATATACCGTTTAATTTATCAGTTAGGACGTTCTGCTCAGCTGAATCCACACTCAGTATCTACTGTGTTTTTTTTCCATAAATAAATTCATAATAATATAAATACGATTTTCATGCTTAATAGTGTTCTAAGTATTTCCTGCTTCACGGTTCTCTGAAGGATTTTATCATATATTTGAAGAAAAAGTACTTATTAGAAATTTAAGGTTGAAAGGATATTGATTTCCTACTGCTGCTACTGCACAACTAATAATAAATAATTTTCTTTCAAAGTCAATGACTGATAATTTTAATAATTTTTGTTTGATTTCCCATGGTCTTCTACGACCTTTCACGATA